GTTCATGTGGTTAACCTTCCCTCCTATTGTTTCGGATTTTTGTTTTTCGTCTGTGGGGTTACCCCTGCCCCTCTTTGTCGGCGTTGTTCCACCCCCCTTATACGTGGGTTTTTTTTTTTTTTTTTTTTTTTTTTTTTTTTTTTCGGAACGAGCTCTGGCGACTCTTACTCCGGGTTGTCAGCACTGTTCTAGATCTACTTTACAACCTGATGGGCCGAGAGAACGTATAAGTAGAATACAAGATATTAATTAATAAGCTCTGTCCAGGATCCCAGTTAGCTTACGGCCGCGTTGTTGCCATGACCTGATCTGATCAAAGCTACATGTTGGCGGCTCTGTCGAGAGCAGCATTGAGACAAAGATTGCAGTGTGCATGAAGTCTCGACAATAACATGGTTAGTTCCGCCTAGATGCATCCATCCCCTTGTCTCTGTCACATATCGTAACCTTGGAGCAGACAACGAAATGTGCAAATCCCGTGCGGGGTTCTTCATGAGCTCTCATCGTGAGCTGTAGTGACCTGATTATGCTTCGGCAAGGTGACAAATCCTGACTGGATATCGCAAGAATATACCAGGGGGTTAGATCAAACTTCCCATGAAGCGAGGTTAGCCCGGAAAACCGTTGCAGATCGTGTGACGGGTTACACAGAAGACCCTGATGAAGAACACCGGCCGTATGGGCCCTCTGGGGAGCAGAGCCGCTATCACAACATAGCCAAACAAGCATGGCCTTGCCAGACCACAGCAGATGGGGAACCGGAGGTCGGCTTTGGGAATGGCGCGCGGGCCGCTAAGAATATGTTCTCCCGTAGGATTCGCCGGTGGAGCCCCTTGCCAACAGATGAGTGCATACATACTAGTTATGTAGCCGAGCACGGAATGAAAGATGATTCGTTAACAATCATGAGCTGTACAATACGATTGGTCAACCTTTGTTTTCAATACATGGGGTTCCGTTCTGGCGGGTTCAGTAGCTTTTGCCAAAATACAACCCAGTAGACGTGTTACTGTACGGTAGGATTCGAATCTTCCATCGTTATGGGGTCTATCCGAGGCCTTCACAACACAACAGGGAAGGGTACCTAGGTAAATATGGAATCAACCCATATGACCCCCTTTTTTGAGTGTTATACCCAATCTATCGGTTTCGGTTCCGGGATATGTTGTGTCACAAGGGGGTGAAGCACCATAATTACCTATTGTTTGGATCATCCTGCCATAAGCTGGAGCTTTGCAGACTCAATTATCTCATGAGGCTCTAATAGACCGGTCCGTACGGGTGCTTGGTGTCGGGTCACGGGTTCGGGCGGTTTCTTCTTACTATCCCGAAGCCCTTCCGGGTTGATTCTAGCACTCGTCCCGGCAGTCTGGTAAACCAAGCAGTTGTGGGAGAATATTATGCCAACGTATTGGGTTATATTATTTCTTTATACGAGAGAAAAGTGGTTGCTTGAATTAGTTTTGTGGCTTTCTTATTACAACTCCAACCGCCAATATAGCAGGAATCGTCTAGACCAACTAACAGTGACATCAGCAAAGTAATAGCGCATAGTTAACTTCATTTCGTTGTGCATCCGCGTTGCATTAGTGTCTCGTAAGGAGCAACGAGGAGAACATGTAAGTGTGTCTAAAGCATGTGTACATAATGTATCCGCTGCGAGGGTACTAACAGCCTGATTGTGTCCCAACTGTAAGGTATCTATGATAGACATCATCTTTCCGAGAAATGAGTCAACGTGATAACGGAGTAGACTATTAAGCACACTTTCCGTATTGAGAATGGGATAAGAGCGTTCTTATTGCAGGTCCTGATCAGTTGATATGGCTCATTTTGAGGTAATAAGCAGCTTCGGTGTGAGAGCTTTGATGATACTACACAAAATGTGTCTGTGTTTGATTGGGACGTGGGTATGTTCCTTGTTTTTCCTGCTGGCGACAATTACATCGAGATCCCAGTTCTCACCGTTCCCCATAACCAAGCACACCTCCAACTTCGTCGGTAAGATAGTGAGTGACAAGGATGTTGGAGATGGTATCATGAAACTAAGCCCCAGGTTCGGCAGATCATCTCTTATTCCGCTCCCAAGACTGAAGGGAATGGGATCCGGGATATGAGTATTATGATTCCTATCTGGCGAAAGGTAACTGAGCTCAAAGTATCGTTCAGGAAATAGTGCATCATTATTCCTGTTCTTAGGGGGTCATCTTACTAGACTTTGCTCTGGTCAGCCATTGCTGCCACCATCCAGATACCTACTGTACCCAAGGTAGGTAGCTTATACTCTTTTCAAACCATCAATGCTAATCCAGAACAATATGGCATTAAGACCGAAACGTTGGCACCCAGAAGGGTGAACTCTTGTTCTTTCAATGAATAGGAGATGTGTCATGCACAAGCTTAACCAGAGTACCTAGGTAGGTAGTTAATAGGGATGACTCGGGTACCTTTACAGGTAAAAGATGAGGGAAGCGGGATGGTTACGGGATTTGACCTGACATCTTTCGCTCGCTACAAACATATCCGGGGTTCAAAATTAGGTAGCTTGCCGAGTGTTCCTCGTAGTACTATTCCGACAATTCTCGTGTGTAGCTCCTTTCTCGTTAAGCGGGATACCCTCTACGGTATGAAAACGCGACCCGTGTTGGTTGGCGGATTGATTCTACCTAATCGTCATATAAAGCCGAATCTTCAGCATATAGTACCTACGTACACGTATATGCATGGTACAATGGGCACGGCGTGCTCCTTCAGTTTGTTGGATAGGGGTAGATTAGGTTAGGTGTATCTCCGCGTTGCCGTCCGCCCCTGAAAGGTAGGGGAACCCTGCGACGGCTTACCACCCCCTTCTTCCTTCTCTCAGCGTTAGACGTGTTTAACCAACACAGGCATGGCATGTCGAAGAAGTTCTCCTCGGATTGTATGTAGTTACTATGTCTACTCCTATGCTATCCTTCGCTTTAGAAAGTCAAGGACAATTATTACCAACGGGAGATATTTAGTATATTCTTTATATTAATTATTGTCATTCTGGACTACAATATCACCTCTTATTTCCAACGGATTATAATTCCCAGTTCGTGGAATATTTTAGGAATTATATAGGGGCATAGACATGATCGAACCTCGTGGACCTAATGAAGCCTCGAGGCCCAGACCTTCTCTTATGAAATATTATCCCAGCTCCCGGCTAACTCTTCTCCTATTAATGTTTGTTTGGACCCAGACCACTGATGACCTGTGACAGAGGCCAAAAGATCTTGCTTAGCCTCGAGGCGAAAGATCTATCCCATCGAAGCAATATTATCCCCACAATGTACCTTTCCGATCAAGTATTCCCGTCGCGTCTGTCGAACTTCCCAAAACGTTATTTTCGATCCGCTATGCTTTCCCGATATATCGAAGCGTGCGATGACTTTCTCACGGCTCAAAGTCTGTTTTAATCCAAGATCTATAGGCTCGTAGCCAGGCCAAAGTCCAAGCAATATCTATATAAACCCAGCGAAGCCTCGATGCTCGGAAAGTGTCTCACCCAGGTGTAATAAATTATTGTAAATGGCATCCGTGATGAGGTGATGGTGGTGGTGGTGGTGGTTATTTAGGAGCGGACCGACATCGAAATAGCGGGTTTCTAGACCGCGGTGCTCGATCGTTGTTCGTTTTAGGAGCTGCGAATATTTTCTTGTAGTTGATCTAGGGCTCTTTTGTCACCTGCGTGAGCTTGCGTCCGTGATCAAGCCCTCTATCCTACTGGGATCCAATCGAGACCTATTCAGAGTTCGGTTGGCATGACGTTGACGGTTGAAATAGTTCCGAGACGATAGCGATGAAGATGGGTTCCGGTTCCATCGTGTCAGGAGTTTCACCTGAGACTCCTTGGGAACAAAGGAGTTATTTTGTATATAGCTTTGACTTTAAAGTTATTGTAGTTAGAGTTCCTTGCGGAACAACGAAGTTGTTTTCCTACCCCATGCTCTGCGAGGTGACACATCGAAGGGTTCGGTATTTAGAGCCTGAGCGGAAGACCTGTACATTCATTGGGATGGATTGACTATGCTCGTTGGATGACATGATATATGCTGAAAGGTTATGCAAACTAATATAGTCTAAGGTAAAGTGGGTTGAATTGAAATGACGTGGATGGCGATATATTCCACTTCGATTAGAAATCTCCGGTAGAAATGATCGTTAGGAGCAATTGTTTCTATATACGGAGGCGAGTCGAACGAAGAACGAACAAGATACGCTGGAAGGTCGTCTAGATTCATGACAACATAATAGATTGTATTGCCAGGTAGGCGTGTGTGTTGATGTAAACAAACATGGATATCATAATAGAAGGACTAGTCTTATCACAGTTTTCTTCTGGACGAGGTGGGTGACTGATCGAGAACGGGCCTCAAGTTCTATAGGTAGATTAATATATGTATTGCTATGCCCGACTTTATAAATTTATATGGCGGTTAGATACCCTATTCCATCTACTTTATTCGTTTGAATCTATGAGCCTTGAGCTTTAGTGCCAAGATTATACTTTTCACTTATATATGTAGGTTGGTGAAAGGTCAAGTCCCTCAACACAAGGATTCAACTTCCTCTCCTGTGAGGTTTCTCTTTAGTTACGGATAGTCACTCGTAGTAGATGTAACCAATAGGCTCTACCATATGTATAAAGAGTAGCCAGCTAGGTTAGGCATTACTAGTTCAACCTACTATACTATGCATGTATGACCCTGACACTCACTCTGTATACGATATCCATCACGGACATAACCTGACACTGCTCTCCTTTTTAGTAACCCTTATATAGGTGGGTATCTACCAGCAATGAAAATGGAAATGTAGATGTACAGTTGCATGTTAATTAACAAATTACATCCTCAGATAATGTCCATATATTATATTGGTCATAATCTAACGTTAACTACCGGACAAGCTAATTGCTTCCCACCAAAACATCAGAGTTGTATCTGGTGTTTACGCTATGAACGGCAGTTCCTGGGATTACATATTAATAGAGTTTGAGGCTCTGCGTAGATTTCTTTCCCTAGGGGATATTCCTTTGTTTACTTCAAGCCATAGACGTCATGTCCCACGAAGAGAGTTATCGAACGTCAATGCTAAGACTGAATGTTAGATGCCATTTAGGTGATGAGCCTAATCACCTAGCTCATCCCAAATTCGCAAGAATCCGGTCTCTGTGACTTTACCTTGCATAAAGATGCCCTATGCAGTACTACTATTGATAAGGACAATAGCTCCTATGGTACTAAGGCCTATATCCTATGGACTGCGTGTGTGCCCTCATGAATGCACAAAATCTTCCGCCTCATAGACGGACAAGCGCCAAGCACAGAAAGGGGACCTTTGAGGCCCAAAACGCACTCGATCTGTCTAGTTTTGTAGGGTTCTATGGGCTGTTAGTTTATGCTTTGAGATAAACGTACAAGTAAAATACATACCCGAGGTAATCTTCCTTGATACTGCCAATTGCCCATAACTCACCGACTTCGGCCCGCGTGCCCACTATTTTGACACGAACCTGTGTGTTCACCTCGATCGTGGTGTCCTCATTGTTAGTGAACTGAGGCGGTGTAGCGTTCGGGTCCCATTTGACTTCTTGTGGAATCAACTTGACAGGGGCTGTCAACTAACATGACACATGTCGATGTCAAGGGGATTACTTACGTGGGTGGACACGAAGATTCGAAGAGGTCCAGCTTCAGCAAAGAAACCATGCTGATTGACCGAGACTACTATGGCATCCATCTTACTTACTTAGCACAAGTTTGCAGTGTCCAAGCTCAGTCTAGAGAACCTACCGTCTCGCCCTTGAAAGGACGCCAGACCACAGCACGATAGCCGACAGTGAACTCAGCGAGACCACTTCCCGGAAGAATGCGACCTTCGGAGATGTCAAAGGTATCCATGATGGAAATGATATAGTAACTTCCAGTACACGTGCCTTCGACATCCTTGAGGAGCTTGCCTGTAACCAACTCGTGCATGTTCTTGCCGAAGTAGGAAGGGTGAAGGGTAACCCTTCGCTCGAGATTGTAGAGGAAGAACATGTTGATGTTTCTAGGTGCTTGCGCTAAGTGATCTAATTTATGAGAGGGAAGTCGTAAAATATATATTAGGATGGCGTTGCTAATGAGGACGTGCTTGGGAGATTGTTCGTCGGAGTAGTAACGGTACTGGGATGCGCTTTGGCGATACACGGACTGTGATCCCTGACGGGGCCTAAGCCAAACAGGAATGGATTATCTATTGATGGAATTTATTGACTGTATTCTCAAGGACTCATAGGCTGGTAGGAGATGGGGTGAGTTGATGGGATTGGATGTTGGATGCTAAGCTAAAAGGTAGGCCGAGGTGGTGCAGACCTTGAGCCTCCTTGAGCCTCGAAATCGGCAATCCAGGGTATCATAAAATCATCAAGAAAATGCAAGAAGAAGTTAGCAAAAAAATTGCGACAGCGCAAAGTAATGTGCTTGTGGTATGATGATGAATGCGACAACAGGGCTGAAAGAAATTTTGGTGTAGCCTCAGGAAGGTCGGAATGATGAAAGGAACGAGTCGCGTCGGGTCTAGTAACCTTTCAAACGGCGGTACCTAGGGAAAACCTCGGTTTCAGTTTAGGTACCTTAGGTGGTTTCAAAAGTTCGGTACTACAGCACCGAAGTTTTTTGAAGGATGCACAACGTCGTCACTTATTACTCATTCCGTCAGGTACCTAGCTCGGGTACCTAGCTTGTCCTACCTACATGTACCTCACCAGTACCTACCTAGGTAGGCACAATGGACTTCCCCATGCTACTCGGCGCAATTGAAGTTGCTTACATGTGCTTCACTTATGACATACCTAGGTACTACCTAATGTAGGACCTACCTAGGGTAGGTACCTAAGGTATTGTAAGGCATGTATAAATAGTGAATAATTACCTAACCCAACTTGCATATGTACTACCTAGGTTTAACTATGTAATGCTTGAGTGATGATGCCCCACTTCCACTGCTCCTCACCTTTCCCCCATTAATGGCCGATCGCTAAAAAAGAATAATTATTTCTATCTATGGCGGGTTCTTTCTTTACATTTGAACTTCCGACTTCGAAACTATTCCGTTCTCTTATCCACACGACCATCCCATCCGAGGCTACGCGACTTAAGCTAAACCAAGCCATCAGCTAGCTCCCCCTACCTTCGTTTAGCTGTCATCATGGCACTCAACCTCGAAAGGCAACTGACCTTTGTAAGTTTAATAATAATTACCTACTTATGGATATCAATGGTTAAAAAAGACTGACCGAGCCTCTGCAGTATGGCGCCTACCATCGTAACTCGGTTAATGTTGCCATTCACATGGTCTGCGTGCCTTTAATACTATTTTCTGGTTTCGCCTTAGTACGTAGAACCCTATTAGAGTCTGTCTCTCATATATTTTTCATATTAACTAGTATGGGTTGTTCGCAATAGGCCGCAAATTCGGGGACTCTTATCCCCTTACCTAAATATTTGACGATACCTCATCTCGACCTCAACCTCGGCACCCTAGCCGCATTCACTTGGGGTGGTCTCTATGTCCTCCTCGAGCCCGTCGCCGGAACTATCCTCGCGCTAATATGCCTCGGAGGTACCGCGTTCACGAACACCGCCCTTACCAAAAACCCGACCTTGACGAACCAAGTCGCGCTTGCGGTACACATAGTATGTTGGCTACTCCAATTCGTTGGGCACGGTGCGTTTGAGGGTCGAGCGCCTGCCCTGTTAGATAACTTGGTCCAGGCCATTTTCCTGGCACCCCTTTTCGTCTGGTTGGAGTTCCTATTCAAGTTTGGTTACAGAAGGGAACTACAGAGCCGCGTTTCGAAAGCTGTCCAAGCCGAGATTGCTAAGTTCAAGGAGCGAAAAGCCAAGGCCGCGAAGAATGGGAAGGCTCAATAAGCGCGAGGAGAGCAATAACGAGGAGTAAAGATTCACGTTGGTGGTGGCCTTCGGGCCATTTGAGAAATAAGGATAATTGGAGTGTCCGAAACTGCCATTGCGCGCATCCAATGGAGATGGCGCCTATAACGAGGACTCCCAGACTAGGATCTCACCTAGAAGTAAGGCGTTTGGCGAACTAGAGGACGATGTTTTACGGCGGAAGCCAACCGAGGAACAACGCTTGCATTTGCGATTGCGATAGGAGTTTGAGCGGCAAGTCATGGCTAACTTCCATTTACCAAGTGCTCTTTACTCCTGCATATGGATGTATAAAGTCCGCATACCTAAGGAACTAGGGAATGGAGGAGAGGGCCTTCTCAACAGGTAGTCCCTCTCAGCTTATCATCTTGGACATATAGAAAATTAGACCGAGCCAAAATTATACCAGCATTAATCACAGAAAAATGATACGTATATCAATCACACGCACAAGCTCTAAAAAACTCCTTATTTTTTTATTTGTCTAACTGAAATTCCCAGAGAAACCGCCTATCGACCCAGGTACATACCTAGGTAATAATATATACTAATACTATACGAATAGAGAAGGTGTCGGTACATCGACACAGATGTACGAAGTACCCCCAAAGAGTTTGGGGATATATATATACGCATACGTACCTAACCTAGAAATTAATGCATAATTTTAAGGGGTTAAGATACCTTACTATTTGTTACTTAATAACGAATCATCACGACGAGAAAATTTATCAAGGCTCTCTCTCTCTCTCTCTCTCTCTCTCTCTTAATGTTCATCACGCTCTCTCTTTAAAAGAGATCTCGCCGCTTAGCGTCACGAGCCGCGCGTCCCGACAGACGAAGCTCTCGTCGGAGGAATTATCCAGGATCCGAAGCGGGCTGGCGATCCTCCGCAGCGTCGGGTGTTGATGGAGCCCTTTGCTGCGCTGCGGGGGACGTTTTAGAGGTGGCCGGAATGTTGATGTTTCTGCTGCCATCTCGCTCGTGGGGTGGTAGTTGGCAGCGAAGCGCTGCGCGTTGAGATATACTTGATATTCAGGTAGTGGATTGGGTATTGGAGGGGGAATAACAATGGGAACGGGAATGGGCATGGGCATGGGAGGGTTGGAAGGTTTAGGAGGTTTAGGAGGACGCGGGGGAGAAGGCGTACGGGGCACCTTGTAGACTTGCCCGGGTTTGCGTCGAAGCTGTGGATGCTTATCTGGGGGAGGTGGCGCTGTCGACGGACGCTCCTGGCTAAACGAGTTCCCGATTTGGGGCATCCATTTGCGCTGCCGCCTGTCCTTAGGAGGTGGCGTTGGGGGAAGTCGTTTGGGGCTAGGTGTTCTAGAACGTTTTCTGCCCCTAGAAGACTTGTTCTTAGGAACCCTTTCGCGGTGCCGCCGGTCATGCCTCGGCGTTGGCTCAGCGGGCTTCTTGGAGCGGGGCGGATTGTCGAAGCCGCAAGCTTCCTTAACAGACGCATGAGGTTTACGCTCAGCGCGTTTTACTAATTTGGTCCTATCTCCCTCACGCTTACTGGGGAACTGCTTGCTGGTGGATCCATGATGCCTATGCTCATGTTCACGCTCCTGCTCATGTTTACGCTCGTGACGCATAAGCCCACAATCTCTTGTCGGCTTTTGTAGACGCACAGCTGACTTATCCCTTTTCTGCTCGGGTTTATAGGTGTCTGGCGTGGCAGCGGATGTCCTAGGTGGGCTCACCGGCCTCGCTCTTCCAGCGGCACGGCAGTAAGAATCTCTCTGTGCTAGATTCTCGGGCTCGTAATACAGCTCCGGTATCCATACGCCCTGCTGTGCATGTCTGCCCGGTCTTCTATACGATCTTTCGGTATAATTCTCGTTTTCTTCACGATGCTCTCTGGAGTAATATGGATATTCATCTCGTACGCGTGGGTGACGGACCCTCAGGGCTCCATCCCCAACTTGATTACCTCGTAGCCTGTCGTTCTTGACCGAGCAAGCTGGGCAGAAGAGTACCGGCTCTCCATGGTGTGGAATAACACGCCCGCAATCTTTCTTCCTCCGTACATTACCATTGAACAGGCGCCCAAGGAAGCTGTTCGCCTCGCTCTGTTGCTTGTAATATGTCGGACAATGAATTAGATTGCTAGAGACGTGGTGACATTCGCTATACTCCTGGTTCCAGAGTTGACACATCGCGGAATCGTATAAGCGAGCAAACATGAATTGTTTGACCGCCATTTAGTTTAAGTAAAATTGTTCACAATGGTTCTTCGAGAACCTGCTCGTTAAGGAACAGGAACAGAGTGCTTCTATGGCCTAACAAAGCCCATTGTCCTGTATGTCTTAGCAGGCTTTCATTATACGACCTGCTTGGTGAATAGGGGTGTTGCGAGACAAGGCGATAGAGCGGATCAGAGCACGTGGATAGGAATATCCTCTCTATGATATCACACTATCCCATTGTCTGGCTATAATGCTATTGTCCAGAGCTGGTGGGCCGCTCGAACAACAGATGTTGTTGTTTTGAAGCCCGAAAAACTATTTAGACATTATTATGCCTAAGCCACCTCCGTCAATCACCAGACTTTACTTTGTCCGCAGAACATTCCGCTCTTAATCAGTTAAATTGATCATCCAGACAGCTAATCAAGCAAAAATGGGTCGTTTTACCGCTTCCGCTTCCACTGTCGCCAAACAGATTAAGCAGGGTATTTCGAAATACTTCTCATCGTACCAGCAGGCGGGAAGCAAGGAGATGATGGTAAACCAGGATGTGAATACTCCTATAAAACAGGAACTTGTTCCCGACCTTCAGCTTAAGAACCGTTGCTGGATCTCTCACTCCAAGCACAGCGGAAAGTTTCGTGAGAATCTACCCCCTGCGGGCTATAACGACGAGATCGATGAACACCCGAGCTCCGCGACACCTGCTCCTCAAGCGAAGCCTCAAACACACAGAGCTAACTCGGAACCCATCATGCGTGCTGAAAGTAAGCCGTGGTGGCTTATAACCGACGAGGAGCTTCGTGAGGAGTACGAGCAGTGCCGGGCCAAGGCCCCTCAGGTCGGACCCAACTTCCTCTGGTGTGATCGCCGCAGCAGCTTAGACCAAAGATCGCTTCTGGCTTCTAGGGGCCTCAAGCGTCCCACTGCTGTAGGCGCGTGCATGGTCACCTGTCCCAAGACCGAAGAGACGGTTGTCCGTTTCACCAAGGACCTTGCCGTGCCTGCCCACGCGGACGAGGGCGAAGCCCTGGCTCAAGGCGACGTCGTCGATCTGACTACTCCGGAGATGGTCTCCTTACTTTCGGGTGCCCTCCCCGAAGAGTTCTCTGACTCTACTAAGCCCACTCTCCCCTCTCCCCCTCCCCCTCCCCCAGGCCTAAAGCCGCGTCCAGCCCCCTGTTCTCTCAGGAAGTATCAGGAAGCCATTCAGGAGCAGATCAAGGACGTTCCTGTGAAAGTAGATGCCGATAACCTGAGGTACGAGGCTGAATACAAATCCATCTTCCGGCCCCTCGAAAGAAACAATACGTGGCTTTGACCCAGGCCCTGCCTTAACAAACTCAACCGAACGCGTTTAGCCTTCTAGGCCTTGTCGCGCTCCCATTGTATTGGACTAGCACCCCTAGCGTCCAATGATAGTAGGTATTTGGAAGCAAGACCAAGACCCAAGAGTTAGGTAGGTCGGTCGGGCCAGGCAAGGCAGCCATAAACCTGAGCGAAGCCATGTTTCCTTAGTTTAGTTTTTCTCCTTTCAGCCCTGCTTTCTTTTATCTTTTGATAGGAACTTCAAGGTTCCTTTTATTGCTTTTATTGCATGATAAAAGGGTTTTCAGTTTCTGCTGAAAGGTATCCTTAATTGCTCACCTACACCAAATTTGATATTGGGTTGTACTGCTTGTAGCAAAATCAGAAAATAAGGAAAAAGGTTTCAAAACTCTTTAAATATTATTGTTGCTGAGTGTACTATGACAATCTCTTAGACTTACTGTGCCATGTGTTTAAAGCACGATACATTTGTAATGCGTAACATACAATTCATACACTTAGATCGTAGCAAAGCAAGAGTGCAGTTAACTGTTCATTGGGTAGGGTAGGTAAAATACACCAGCGCCATGCAAAGTAAAGTTGAAGTCACAAAGGCGTGCCCTTATTATCGCACTATATCCCCTAACTGACCTTCACTACGTTATAGCGGGCCGCCTGTTCTTTTTTTTCTTCTTCTCCATATTGCCCCTTTATGTACTCATCATAATCCGCTGATTAAGATTGTTGTCGTGTAGTACGTTTGTTGACCTCAGCCTTAACGTTCTCAGCGCCTGTGGCGACAGCCTCAGCTGTCTTGTCCTTAGCATCCTTAGCCTTCTCCTTGGCGTCCACAGCAGCCTTCTTAACAGGCTGGGGTGCGCTACCTCCAAGGAAGAGAACACCGAAGATGGTACCGACAAGAGCCAGGATAGCACCAATAGCAACAGGAACCTCAGGGACAAACTTAATAGCCTGGATAGGGTCGTTCGCGAAAATGGTTGTGAACAGGTCAAGCTTCTCCCTGGCGTATAGGACGGGGTCATCCAGGAACTTGAGGTCTGAGGGGGACTTGACCGAGTCGTCCTTCTTGGGCTTCTCGGCCTCCTCAAGAGCCTTCTCAACAGGCAACTTCTTGAAGAAAGTTTCCTGAGCGAACTTCTCAGCGTCAGCCTCAGAGTGACCAATGTAAATGTTGTCGAAGAGGATGTCGTTCTGCATAGTCCAGAGTTCGAAACCAACCTATATTGCGAAGTTAGTGATGCATTCCATGCGACAATAAAGTTTAGTATTACTTACAGCGCCAATGGGCTCAAAGTTAGCAGGGTTCTTGTCCTCGAAGTAGTCGGGGTTCTTAATCTTGCGAGGAGCCCAGACGCCCTTGTAAGCAGGGTTGTCAATGTAGGGCGCAGTCCACTTGCCCTTGTAGTCGGGGTTCTTCTTCATGGGCTTGGTCCAAGGGCCACATCCGGAGGCATCAGCACACTTGGGGTTAGGAACGGTGGGAGGGATCCAGTCACCATCTTCCTCGTCATCCCAATCCTCGGGCTTCTGGGCCTCGGGGTCAGGAACAGTCAGAGGCTCCTCCTCAAGCCAGTCCTCGGGTTTGGTAGCCTCCTCATCGACGATCTCGAAAGGAGCATCCTCATCCCAGTCATCCGGCTTCTTGGCGTCGGGGTCGGGAATGCGGGCCTCGTCAACCCAGTCATCCGGCTTCTTGTCATTGGGGTCGTCAATTTCCTCCTCGGGGTTGACGGAAGGGGAGAACTGGTCGAAGAGACTTCCGTCCCGGACAATGTCACCACCACGCTTGACAGTGAAGGTGTTGTTGGGTCGGACGACCAAGGTGTAGAGCTCGGTAGTCTTCTGGATGGAAGCCGTAGGGGCAGCAGACAGGTGCTTCTCCTCGTACTCGCCAGTCTTAGGGTTCTTGTGGTTGAAGATGAAGTGGACCTTGTTGGTGGCACCGCACTTGTCAGGACCGAACATGATAACGTACGGTGTAGTGTTGCTGAACTCGTCCTGGTGAAGAGACTTGGTGTCTCGGAGGAGCTTTAGGTAGGCACCACCGCATTCGAGACCCTCTAGAAACCATAGTGTTAGAAAGCTTTGACACCTGCGAGACTTCGTCTAGACCAATTAACTTACTCTGGAGCTTGACCTCATATTGGACAACTAATTCCTTGCCCTTAGGGTCGATCTTCTTAGGGAACTTGGCGGATATGGCGTGGTGAGCGGCAACATTCTTGACAACAAGACCCTTGTCGCCTTCGATACCCTTAAACTTGTAGGGCTCCTCGACAGCCCACTCGCCAACGTAAGCCCATTCCTCTTCCTGACCCTTAACCTCCTTCTTGGCGTGAGAAGGCTTCCACCGCGACTCCCAGTCATCAGTGAACTGCTCGATGAAGGGAGCTTTGAGGGTGGTGGGCTGCAAGTTCAAGCATTAGCTAAGCTGTACGGTTTAGAAGAGGAATAGAGTAGCCAATTAAGCGCAAAAGGAGGCAATTAATTAATTTTGTTGGATAACTTACAGTGAAGGTGGGCACCTCAACGGAGGCAGAAGTGGACGACTCGGTGTTTTCAACCTTGGAGGCTTCGTCGGCATATGTACCAGTGGCCAGTAAGGCCGCGGCGATAGCAGAGTTCAACTTCATGGCGAAAAAAAAGAGCTGGCAATGCTAGCTAGCTTGCTTTACTTTGCTTGCTCTCTCTCTCTTTAATCCCTTCTGTCTAGCACAGAGGTTGTAGCACAGAGACAGATATGGAGATGGAGATGGATTGAGAGTGACGTTGAGAAAGAACTACCAGAGCTCAACGGAAGAAAAGAAAAGATGGACTCAAGAAGAAGCAATTGCAAGAAGCTCTTGGTGAACTTTTAATTATTGGCAATTGGCAGAGGACCTTCCATGCAAACGTGGCCTAAAGACAGTACGTACCGTTTCGGCTGCTTTGTTCCGTGCTCTGATTGGCTAGACTATCGGGATCGAAGATATGTACCTGGATACATCAGATTGCGGGGGATACTTATGGAATCTCTGGGAAGCACCTTCTGTGACCATAGCTTCTTACAAGGCTCCGCACTGATGTTGTCTATATAGCAAAGTACCAACTACAAAGATACTTACTAGTTGCGTAAATGTGGAAAAATACATGTGAATACCATTTACATTTATTAACTATAGAACATATTTCGTTTTCTTCTAACAACTTAAGTAATAACTAATGCGCACTATAATTGACAAATTTGTTTGTTAGTCTATTCATAATGAAATATAATGGGACGAGCGGTGAAATCTGTCAACAAGATATCTATCATTGAATGGTGTGACGTAGGACCATTGAAACATATTATCGGGTTTATGCTTGAAGTCTACTATACCTGACCTCTTACCACCATCTTATTTTATTACCTATCACCACCCCTTATCATGAGAATAACACAAGCCTAGCAAACTTACTCGGTGCAAAGACTCAATGCTACATACATACCTTAAGTACCTACTACCTACTTAGGTAGATACTAATATACCAGTAATATATAATTTGTTATAAAACCGAGGTGCCAAAAAGACAATTGATACTACAACTCACACAAAGGGGAAAGAATAGAATTGGATTAAGTCTTCATGTAAAACTACCTAGGTACTTACCTCTTACATAATATTTAACCTGAAATCCTTGCGTGATCTACAACTGCCCTAGCTGCCCTAGCAGGGTGGGGAACAGAATTTAGGATTTGTGCCGTGATACTCGACTTTAGCCTCATCCAACTTTATTTGCTAATAAGTTAATAAAACCAAACTATCCTTTTTCTCCGTCGGTTTTTTAAGTACCGAACTTTATCACACATACGCACACATACACTCTCGCCCAAGAGGCCAGCCTGGCCTAATCTTATTATTCATCTCCCCTCAAAAGCGTATTATTCAGCTTTCCGGTGCACCGGATTTTCATAAAAGGGGAAGAAAATCAGAAAATCAGGAAGGAAAAAAAGGTGGAAAATGAGTGACGACCATTACATAACGTCGGAAGATCCTGATCACCCGGCAAACCTCATCCCTTCCCTATGCGCCAAGTTTTGGACTCTAGGTTGGGTTACAGGCACGGGAGGAGGATGTTCTATTCGTAACGAGTAAGACCTCACTCTTTCTCTTTTGCAATTGGGTTTAAATTCAGTTTGGTCTGGCTTGATTTTGTTTGACATGAACTTGATATATGGCCTCGCTTATATTTCTATTGTTCCTATCTACCTATTCCCCGTTGCGACAGTTCCAGAATAAATAGAAAAACATGATATCTCATACCTTAGTGTTCCAGTGATCTAGTATATATCGCACCTTCAGGCGTTCAGAAGGAGCTTATGAAGAACACTGATATCTACGTGCTCGCGCTGTCCAAGCAGACGGATCTCAAGAACCGCGTCTACCTGCGCTCCCCGCCGTGCGGCCGGCCTTCCCAATGCACACCGCTGTTCCTCGCGGCATTCACCAAGCGGGGAGCTGGCTGCTGTATCCACACGCATTCTCACTGGGCCGTGCTCGTCACCCTACTCCTCGAGGCTCAGGGCCCCGGCAAGGACAAGGTGTTCGAGATCAACAATATCGAGCAGATCAAGGGCTTCGGCAAGGGCTTTCAGAAGCAGGGAAATTTGGGTTATCACGACACCCTGCGCATCCCCGTCATTGAAAACACGGCCCACGAGGAAGATCTCACGGAGTTCCTGGAAGAGGCCATGGATCAACACCCGGACACCTATGCGGTCCTAGTACGGCGACACGGTGTTTACGTGTGGGGTGATAATGTCCATAAAGCCAAGACTATGTGTGAGAGGTGGGTTTTCCACGCCATTTGATCCCCAACGTCGATCAGCTGACCCAAATATCATCGCAGTCTCGATTACCTCTTCCAGCTGGCTGTGGAGATGAAGCAACTGGGTATCCCATGGTTGAGCGATATCCCGGTAACAGTCCCAACTTCGAAACGGTAAAAAAAGAAAAAAAAAGAGCTAGCTATGCGCTCTCTCAGGACAGACAAAGATACAATCACACATAGAACTGAAAAAACGTGCAGGGGGTAAAGGTAACAATGATGAATGGTCGTCAACTTCAGGTTCATATTCGCGTTCTATATAACGTGACTACATCTGCAATTAGTATTGGCGTGCCAAAAAAACAAATAGTTAAATGATTTTCCGCTTGATGCATCCTACTCCCCCACTTTGGCCTTTGATATTCAAAATCTCATCCAACACGTTTGACAGCATTATGATACATAATCGGCCGACCTCATTATTATCCCTAGCGTTTCAAAATATCTCCTTTTGTATAATGGCGTACAGGTTACAAAATTCGGATGCCCAACAGTTCTTATAGGGCGAGGAAAGCAGCCAGGAAGGAGAATAGCCCGACGCCAGAGCTGATAGGGGTGAAGAGCATGTCGGCGGCACCGGAAGACGTGGAAGACGGAGCCGCGGACGCAGAGTTGGGGGAGGAAGAGTCAGTCTCGGAGGGAGCGACGGTGGTGGAGAACGAGGTGACGAAGGTAGAGCCGCCCGAGGTAACGGTGGACTCAACCTGGGTGACGCTTGGAGTCGCCTTGGTGGTGCCGTGGCTGCCAGTACCGGTGGCGGAGGTAGTAGCGCCGGGGGCGTTGGTCGAAGTGTAGAAGTACTGGGCAATGCAGCCGCTTACGCAGTCGGCGTAGGCCTTATTATCGGCCTCGGTGCCCTTGCCCTGGGGGCATTGGGCTACACACTCGGTGGTCTGGTTGACGTTCTGGTCGCTGGGGTTGGGCACAGCAATGCACTTAGCCTGGCAGGAAACGTCGCTGGCATCACCTATTTGCATAGTGGTTAGTCATTGGCCTTGTCTACCGTCTGCCTGTCTCTATCTATCGTTGTATATACTCACAAGCATTGAGGCAGTTGAGGATGGCGGATTGCGCAGAGCTCTGGGCAGGATCTATGCTGACGGTGACAGAGGGCTGAGTGCCGGTGGTGACTGACTGGCCGGCGGTGGAGGTACCAATCGTAACGTCGGCCGAGTCGACGACGGAAGTAGCAGTCGTAACGTCAGCCGTGTTGACCACGGAGGTAGCAGTCGTAACGTCGGTCGCGCCAGCCGCAGAAGACTCAACACTGGTGACGGCGTTGGTTTCGGATTGGGCGCTCGCAACAGCGGCGAGGAAACCGGCGGCTACTACAGAGAAACGCATCTTGAATGGATATTTGTACAACTCGTGTGTAGAAATAATTAGATATTAGGTGATTATTTATACGGAGAAGCGCAGAAGAGCGAACGTAGACAAAGCCGTTGGAGCTAGATTAGATCTCTTGTAGAGGAGCGAGTGACGAGGTCTTTAAGTAAAAGACAGGATCGGGACAGAGCAAGACAAGAGAGAGAACCAAAACAAAGGATCCAGTGGATGATCGACTATTTAATAGGGGAAATGAATAAGAGACTCGGTCTCTCCATAGCGCCCCTGGGGAAGCCTGCTAGTAGCACGGTCTAGGATCGCCGCTTGATTCGACCAGTGGCTGGGGCTTGCTGGGGCAGGGCTCTTCGACCATGCCATGAGAGCGAAGGAGCAGCGCTAAGACGGTCCATGCCTCGTCATAGAGCTGTCTAATTTTTTCGTGTCGACCTCGCGTGTTATCATGCATGACCATTCGAAGCCATCCAATCTAAGACTAGCATGACTTTGTCTGCCATGGTTGGTGGAACGGGTTCCAAGCCGGGCCAGGGGGCTTGCAGCTAAATTACAATTAAAATACGACCTTCTTTTTCATGCTACCTCGCCAAATGGCAAAAGAGTTGTCACAGCCTCGATCGAAATCCGCGGGTTTTGTTAAAGACAAGGAGAAACTCAGTATACGCTTACACTATATCAGACGGAGATGGTCACGATAATGGTATAAGAAGCCGAGGCTTGTTTATGCAAATGGAAATGGAGCCTTAGAGGTAGCTGGCTAACCTAGGTTAGGTTACGGATAGTGTAGGTATTCCGGACGTTTGTCTCCAAGACATGGTTTCTAGTATGATCAGAGGCGATCTGACCATCCAAGACCATCCACTCGCCTTGTGGGGAAGAAAAGAAAGAAAGCTACTACGTATAGTAACGACTGACCGATTGACTGATCGTTCCAAATCCATCTTATTGCTGTGTGATGACTAGGTATATTGACTTTTCGGGCATTTTGATAATTTTATAATTTCACCTGATAATCTTATGTATTAATGTCTACGTGGTAGTGGCGAGAAGATCTAGCATATTAGATCCCGACTGGACTTCATTTTATCATTTTACTGGTGAACACCATCGGTTGCCCTGTTGTCATTTCCAGATTCCAGTCGTCTATTATTATCATGTTCCTAGTCTACCTACCTAGGTAGTTAACATCACATATTAGCAAATACCATGAGAAACGCATACACTAGTGTAGGCTTAGTCGTCGCCAGAGTAACGCAGCTGTCCAGCTGATCAAAAGTTAAGCATAAAAGTGGTTCATGTCTTGAGTACTGTCTTTGAATATTTCCATTGTATTTCCAAAGTATTCTACCGAGAGTTGTTCGACCCGCCCTTGCTGCCTGAGAAAGGAAAGAAAAAAAAATTGCAACAAACCCTGCCAGCATCACTGACAACATCACACAGCATCGGCTACCCACTTTTGCATAGGCAATGCTATTTAAAGCCATTTGTTTCGCCAGCTCTGTCCAACAACAGCCTAGATCTGAGTGGGCCAAGAACCTTAGTTCTTGTCTACATAACAAGCTTTTCTCGAAGTCGGAGCAGGAACGGGGTGGCTGTGCTCGCCGTTCCCTGACTTACATGCTAGCAGACTAGCAGAATACGAGGTGCAGTACTTCCTGATACTGCCCAGGTGCTGTTGCTGCTACCTAGGTAGCCTCCAGGTAGGTACTCCAAACCTCCGAAAAGAGCTGAGAATCGAGATTGCCAGGTAGGTAGTCAAATTCAACCGCATCGCGTACAATACAGCACAACAACGTAGGCCATGTGGCAAACACCTAGAACTTAGAAAAGCTCCCCCTCGCGGCCCACAAACATAGTGGTCAATTACGAGAGGACAATTGGGCCGCAGTCCCAACGTCAGAAGCTTGTCGGTTGACTTGCAATAAAAGGTGTAAAAAGGGTTGAAAGATGAGAAAGATCTCGGTTGTACCTAAGCCAAGAACTGACCCCAACTCCAAGAAGGTTGAGACTTGCATCGTCTTAGGTAATAAATAAACTGACTTTAACCTGCTCTTACCTAATGTACTTGTAGTACAATACATAAATATTAGTACCTATGCATTGTAGCACTATGAAGTTTGAACAAGTCTTAACCTAGCTCACTACCATTTGGCTATTTTCTATTTGCTTCTCTGAATAGCTGATATGCAATCTAGTGGTAGCCTCGCATTTCTTAGGAATTTCGCCGCAATATGGTCCTCGCTTAAGACAGTAACAGTACCTAAGGTATACTGAAATAGGTGTAGTATAATCTTCAGAAACCACCATATAGTGTAAAGCTGTAGCTTCTCCTGCGTGTAGCAATTGCGAACTCTCCTTAAGGAAAAGATTAACATGGGCATAGGGAATCGATACTTCGGTCCATGTCTCTACGGGGTCATGGAGCTCACATCGGCTAAAACAGTCACGCAAGGTGTACCTATCAACGTCACTGTTCCCGATTCCCCCGCAGTGATTTGTGCGATTTTCTACTCGACTTGTGATACAACAGAATCACATCGGAAACGACCTTAGGTGGGATGAGTTATTTTTTTTATCTGCGGTATTTAGCGCAAAGTCAGACGCGAAGTCAGTACCTGATCGGCCTCAAAATGCATATCGACTCTGTGGCATAGTTCACGGCCGTCTCTTATGAGAAGATCGTCATTAGCTTAGAGATCTAGGCGTATGCCCTTTAAATCTGCAAAGGAGAAAAAAAAACAAAGGTACCGCCGGTGCGCAAGCTTCATCAATCATAAAGCAATCTCCCAAATATCAGATCGACGGCCGCATGAAGCGGGAGAGGCTTCCATAAAATGCGAGCCGGCCTCGTCATGTAAAGTCGACTTATAGCGACTCCTCAACCTTCTTCAGGCACTCCGGAAACTCTTTCCAGTCGTACATGATGACCTTGGCATTGCACTGCTCGGTCAAGATCTTAGCCATCTCCTCCATCTTCTCCTTGCCCTCTTCAATACCGTAGACGCCGACGTAGCCAATTAGAGGGATACCCGCACGCATGGCGGCGGTAGCGCCGCTCTTGCTGTCCTCGACGGTAACACACTCCTCGTTCTTGACACCGAGCTGCTTGCAGGCGTAGTTGTAGATAGCAGGGTCAGGCTTGCTGGAAGGAGGATTCAGACTAGTGGCAGCGCTGTAGACGTGCTCGTCGGGGAAGTAGTGGTCAATGCCAACCTTCTTCAGACTGGCAACGACACGGGGCTTAGCTGAAGTGCTGACAACAGACATGGGATACCCTGCCTCCTTGAGTGCCTCAAGCTGCTCAGGTGCGCCGGGGCAGGGCTGGCACTTCTCGCTCAGCTTTGCGGTGACAGCGCCGAGCTCACGGTCGACATAGGCATCCACCTCCTCGGGTGTCATAGTGAAGCCATGCTTCTTCTGAAGGCCATTGAGCATGCCGCGGAAGTTGTGGCCGACGAAGTCCTCTAGCAGCTGCTCGACAGTGTAGCGCTCGGGAATGCCCCACTTCTCCAAGACCTCGTTGGTCAATTCGGTGCAAGCCTCAAAGGCCAGGCGCTCCGACAGACAAAGAGTGTTGTCGCAGTCGAGCAGGATGTACTTGGCCTATTAACTCGTAGCGTTAGACGATGCCAAAAATAATAATAAAAAATAAAAAGAAGAGAACAAAAAAGGAAAGAAAGAGGGTAAACGAAGCTTAATCACTTACACGAGGCATGTTGAATGATGTAATTTGAGGATGGCTAATTGAGTTGTGTTATTGCTGTCGTTATTGCTGGTGCTAGTGCTTAGTGCTTGGTCGTGGTCGTGGTCGTGGTCGGAACTTGCTTGGTCAAGTTGGGTTAGAAACAGAAAGTTGTTTGGGTCTTTAATAAAAGTATTGTAGACGATGGACAAACTCCGATGGTTAGGTTACGCACTATGTAGTTTTCAAGATCACTGCGGGGAGCTTCTTTCCCTCTTACATTGCGGGGTCTTTCTAAGAGGCTGCACAACACCTTGATAGTACCTACCTGCCTTTACGTATAACTAAAACTGCTAAGGCAGGAACTAGTGGTCTTAACCTCAGTGCAGTTTCCGTGGTTAAAAGGGCAGCCACAGGATAAATGGCCAGTAGGACCGATGAGTAGGTACCTAAGGTAGGTAGCACCGACAGACCGATAGGAGGGAAGTTATCTTAGGTGTTACTGTCGTGAACCGTATGTCATACTTCTTTAATGCATAATAGCTTGATTTTACATAGCAAGTACGTATCCACTTACATTTGTGTTAGACTTGTTGGGTAGTTGCGCTCTTGGCAAAAGCTACCTAGGTACGTACCTACCTAACTTCCCAAGGTTTGTATGGTACAGTGAAACCCATTGAATTGGGTCATTCAATTTAAACATCATCAACTGAGTTTGCAAAAAAAAGCTACCTATTCACCATCTATTCGGACTCCCGAAAACATGACTTGGATTTCCAAATTAGTGACGGCTTTCGGGCTGTTACTTCTAGCAGATTCGTAAGGATACCTGTTTCTATATCTGGTAGAACATCATAGCTTACAACAGTGGTTGTCCTCAGGTGTTACTCGGCTTATGAACATTCCCTTCTTCAAACGCACCGAGCCGCATCGCTCTCGTCTTTGAGCACGTCACACAGCGGTGTGACGACCTCACTACCGATCGATATAACTATCGAGACAATTGTCGCAACATTTATCGTCTGTCTAGGCATGGTATTAGGGACGTCTAATTTACGTCCTATCCAATGGCGCGTTTGGGCTGGGAAGATTGAGAGAGAAGGGGAGGCAGGATTTCTAAACAGCAACGGAGAGGTGGAGAAAGATTACGTTGGGAACCCGTTTCGATTATTAGAGAGTCGTCCAGGATTCGTTGATATTCGGAAGCAAAGAAAAGAGTTTGCAGAATGGGTTAAAAACGAATAGATGATAAATCGAGCAACGGATACAGAGCATACAGAGGATACCTAGAGACACCGGCATCAAGTTAGGCTTCTTGTTATGACAGCTCTATGGGGAAATACTCGAAGCTACCTCTTGAACGCTACGCTGTATTCTTCTAGCTTGTATGAGGGATAACGAAATAGCATCATTGCATATTACACCTACCTCTCTCCTAAGGTACCATGTAATAATATACAACACATACTAGTAGTCAGCAAAATACTTGTCGAAGGGAAGGACGGATACCGGTCACGGGCGCTGTTACCTTCAATGTCCCCAAATGTTGTTGTCAGTGGAAGTCGCGGGACATATCTCCGGCAAGGAGATGGTGCCTTCCTGTTCCTCTTGAAGAACAACTCAAGAGGTAGTAGTTTCTTCAAAGGTACCTCCTACCTAATATATGGGCAAGTATGTACTAGGTAAGTAATGAGTAATAAGGAGTAATACTAGGTAGGATCTACGGAATTCCAGTCAGAAACCCCAGTTTATACAATCCAACCAACACATACCATCTATCTCCTGTCACTCCTTAATAACACCAACACCACATTATCCACTAAGAAATCCAAGCCGCAATATGTCACATAATCCAAGATACCAAACTCCATCTAGGATATCATCAGAGCGATCAACCAATACTAATCTCTTCAGCCAGTCCAGTTCATTATATGTTCCATCAGCCGCAAACAACCACTTCTTCTCTACTCCTAATCGCGAACAGGATCATGCTGCTCCCGTATATTCCAGCTCACCAAATAGGGATACATCGAGTCGCGTAAACTTAAGGTCTACAAAACAGCCCTATCCATCTTCTCCCCATCTTCCACAGCACCCTCGAAGACAGAGGCTGTCCTTACGTCCACCATCCAGCCAGATCCCATCACGCAATTCGACTCGCCTAGAAAATGATAACGACTCACACACCGACGATATCTTGTCCAACGAGGATGCAGACGCACTGAGGGAAATTATCTTGGCAATCGAGATGAAAGAGAATGGAAGCCTTGGCTGTGCTTATTACATCGCAGCCGATGAGACCCTGTTCCTTCTCGAAGACGTAGCTATGTCGGGAATGGATCTAGTCGAGACGCTTCTTCTCCACGTAAACCCTACTACTATACTCATATCCGCCAGAGCTCCAGAGAAACTAGCAGACTATCTCGCCAGGGGAGCGCAAGGAGTAGACGGAAACCGAGGTAAGAAAAGGAACCTCGGCGTAAAAGCATGTTAAGCACCACTAATGGGTCTTGCAGACGGCCAAAATAGCGCCTATATTTTGAGAAATTTGAACTCTGCTGACTTTCGATATGAGGCTGGAAAGGGGAAGTTGCTGGCACTAAGTCTTGAGACTCCTGGGCGTCAGAGCGTCCTTTTCACTTCCGTTGTCGACGATGTTGCAGATGAAGCCGATAACAATGCTAGGCACGAAAGCTCGAGGCAAGGTCGTCTAATGCGCCTTGGAACTTCGATCAATCTTGACAGCCGACTAACGGTTAGGTCTTACCACTATCCACTTGGGCTATAGCACCGCTCTGACAAGTGATAGATTGGCTGTGCCGGCGCTGTGCTAGGCGATCTACAGAGAAGGAGAACCGCAAATTACTTACCAAACGACCCCGATGCCCTGATAGCCTTCAAGATCAGATCAGTCGAAATGTTCGCTCTATTCGACTCCATGTTCATAAATGCTGACACGTTAGTATCTCTTCAGATCATACAGTCTGAATATCACCCAAATAGCCACCTGCGAGGACCTAGTAACTCTGGGGCCAAAGAAAGTTTATCTATCTACGGGCTTTTTCAGCATCTAGCCCGTACACCTCAAGGAAAGCTGAAGCTGCGCCAAATCTTCCTACGACCAAGTATTAATATTGAATTGATACATGCTCGCCAGAAGACTATAGCCTTCCTGTTGCGACCAGGAAATTCCGAGACGCTTATGCAACTAAGCAACGAACTCAAGAAAGTCAAGAATATGAAATCAGTAGTGGCACTTTTAGAAAAGGGGGTCGATATTCCGGGACGTAAAATTTCTATAGCAAACAATGTCTGGGCTTCGCTGCAACGATTTGCAGCCTACAGCATACGAATTGGGGAATCGCTTCGAACCCTTCCGGGCTCAGAGAACATTGAGATTATTAGAAAGGTAATGTTTAACTTAACCCCATGTCTAATACTTGGGTCTTACAGCGTTACTACCTAAGGTAATTGATATAATTCAACCGGCTGCTCTTCGTCAAATCGGCGAGCTTATTAGTCAGACCATTGATTTTGATCAGTCAATGGAACGCGGCAGAACAGCTGTCAAACAAGGTGTAGATGCCACCCTCGACGAATTGAAGCGCAGTTATGATGGCATGGAGCATTTCTTGACCAACGTCATCGCAAAGCTACGAAGCGAATTGCCGGAATGGGCGAGGAAGTATATCCAAAACTGCATTTTCTTTCCGCAGCTGGGTTTCTTGACAGTGGTTTCACTCAACCCCGAAACAGGAAAGGGAGACTATAACGGTGAAGGCGTAGGCGATGTATGGGAGCGCATGTTCGTAGCCGAGGGTAGCGTATATTATAAGAACCGGCAGATGAAAGAGATGGATGAGCATTTTGGAGATGCGTACTGTATGATCACCGGTAAGCTCCCCTTTTGTACAAGGTAGGCTATACTCCCTGGTTAACTTGTTAATATCATACAGATCGGGAGATTGAGATCATTCACGAGCTTGCCGTGAAGGTTTTGGCGCAAAGGGAAGCTATCATTGTAGCGTCTGATGTTCTTGGCGAGCTTGATAGCTTGTTTGCGCTGGCGATTGGTTGCGGGCAGTACAACTGGGTTGTGCCGAAAATGACAACTCAAAACATCATAAATATTGAAGGGGGTCGCCATCCTCTCCAAGAGCTCGTGGTGCCCTCTTTCATTGCAAACGACTGCTTCCTCGTTGGCGGACCAGGAAATCAGAATGATGAGGGAGAGGATGAGAGTGCTGGGGAACTCGAGCGAAACTCGATTGAACATCCCAGTACTTTAGTTCTAACAGGACCTAATCACTCTGGGAAAAGCATTTATCTTAAACAGACTGCTCTTATTGTATACCTGGCACATATCGGGTGTTTCGTACCTGCTGAGCGGGCTCGTATCGGAATTACAGATCGTATCCTCACACGTATCGCCACACGTGAAAGCGTAGCAAAGAACGAAAGCGCATTCTCTATCGACCTACGCCAAGTGGCTTTTGCGATGAATTTCGCAACACGCAGGAGCCTAGTCCTAATAGACGAGTTCGGCAAAGGCACGAATAGTTTAGACGGCGCCGGCCTGGTCACAGCAGTATTGGACCACTTTACTTCTCTTGGTCCCGAGCGGCCCAAGGTTTTAGCCGCCACACATTTCCACGAGATATTTGAGGGCCAGTATCTGGTAGAGATCCCAGAGTTGGCTTTCGGGCACATGGAAATACGAGTGGATTTTGACGCACCGACTACGGAAGACCAAGTCACTCATCTCTTCCAGCTAGCCCCCGGCCGGAGCATCTCGAGCTTTGGCAGTCGATGCGCAGCGATGAATGGGATTGACGAGGCGGTGGTCCAGCGGGCCGAATCGATCATGCTGATGATTGTTAATAATGAAGACCTCGAGGTCGTGTGCACTAGGTTGTCGGATGCGGAGACGCAGAAGCTCGAGGAGGCGGAAGCCGTTGCGCGAGCTTTCCTTGGTCAGGATGTTAAGAAGCCGCCTAGTGGTGGGGAAAGGGGCAAGGATGTCAATGGGTGGTATAGGGGAATTCTCGAGCGGGTGCTACTGGGGGACGAGTCGAATTCGGGTTCTAACCTGGGTATTAAGTGATGGGATTCATCGTGGCTTAATTGCCTATCTGATGACCATGGCTACGGTTCCTGACGGAGGTAGAGAGATCGTATCCAAGGTAGATATTTCAAGTTAGCTATTTGATGCTGCTAAATTCACAGAGCTAGATTAAGGGTGGCATTGCTGTTCATAATTCAAGAACATTAGACACATAATGCAACATCTCTCTCATAACCTTACCCCCTATTATTTTCTAGGTACTCATCAAATTCTGAACTTGAAATAGGGGAATCCCCTTTTCGACGTTCTAACATGCCGTAATCGAGCATCGTCATGAGCCATTCTATAACAACTATATAGGGGTATCATGGTCGAATTTTTATTAAGGGGTAACTTACGGACCATCAAACTTAACAAGAAGCACGCCACAAATATCAACCAACAACGGAAAATGACCCGTAATCGAGTTTTTGTTTTAATTATCTCCACTATCAACCTCAACATTAAGAATCAACAAGCGAGCTAGCACTTCTCCGCATCAGGGTATCTCCACCGCGCGAACCGCAAGCAGATCGCTCTTCTCCCCCCCACCAGACCGACTAAACAGTGCTCAAAGTCGGCTTTGGTTTTAGCGATGGTTTGTGAGGCTTCCTAGGTGCCGGCAGCTAGTCCGGCACCGCGTTTGTTGTAGATAGTCCATCATCGCCTTTTCTTTTCTAGGTTCTAAGGTATTATGATACATACTAACCACGACGTAATACGTACATTTGGAATGAAGCTAAATCTTGACATCGATTTTGTGCGGCTCCTATGCCGGTAAGAGCCGTGACCAGACTGGCTGGATTATGGAAATTACCAGCCAAAGGCCATGGTGGCACCGACAGCTAGGATGGCAGCAAGAAGAGAGGCCTGGCTGCTAGAAGCAGAGCCCTCTTCTGTAGAGTCACCGGAGGGGACACTACCGGGCGTGCCGTCGGAACCTTGGGGGCTTGATTCCTCGTCGTTGGAGCTGGAGCTGGAGGAGGAGCTGGTAGGGGTGCTGGCGGCGGCGCTGGAAGGGAGCGTGGTAGCGGCGACTAGGAGTGACTCAGAAGCAGTGGGAGCTGGGCCGACCACAGCAGTAGTATCGGATAACACCATGGTTGAAACGGAACCCTTGGTGGCGCTGCCGGTAGGCGCAGTTCCCGAGGTAGACGAGCTGGGACCGTCGATCTTGTTAGGAGAGCCGACACTCATAATAACAGAGGGCTTCGCGGTGGAGGTTTCGCTGGTAGAAGTGGATTTCTCATCGTCAGAATCAGAGTTAGATTTAGAGCCTGTGTCGAAGCCGGCCTTGCTCTCGGCGGCCTGGATAGCAGACTTGGGAATGTCACAGTTGGACTGAATCGGGTCGATCAAGTCGGCGAGGGTGGTGCCAGACGAGCACCACTGGTTCATGCACACTACAACGTCTGACAGGAAGTTGCCGCTAGCCTTCTTGCACATGCAGTCCACGTCCGTAGGCGGGCAGCCGTTCTGTCGGACACAGCTTGTAATACATGTCGGAAACTCAGTGGCGGCCTGCACAACGGAGGAGCCTAAGAGGGCGGCATATAGGAGAGCCACGGTTTGCTGTTTTGCCAACATTTTGCCTGATGGGTAAGCGAATGATAATACGTGGTATGTAAAGAACGGAATTATTAATCTTCTTCTAGAAATGAATGTCTGCGCACTGAAAATGAGCGAATTTTATCAGGGCCTGTCTGATGCGGTGCAAGTGACAACGAAAAGAGCGCGAAGCTGAAGAAATAAGGACAGCGGCGTGAAGTTTGACAAGGCGGGATTTCACGTCATATTGTATGGTAAATGGGCTCGGGTATGGCTACCGAGCCTAAAAGAGATTACCGGGATCATAGACTTCACTGGTAAAGTGTGTGAAACATGGCGAGCTAGGATTATCGGCGTGCCAGATGATAATCTCTGTCGGTTTGGCAGTTTGGGGGGGCAGCCTTTGGGTAATCTTTAATTACTCGGCCCGCTTGCAAACCAAATCCAGGAGAGGCGAACGTCACAAACTGCCTTTTATTGCCATAGTACTGTAATGCCAAGCCCTACTAGACGAGCCCGCTGTCTATGGTTGGCCAGGATAGACGGCTAGCAGGGTGATAAAGGGATCAGTTAGAGCAGATCTCTGGGGTAATCATCATTTTATTTTTCTAAAGGGGCTGATAGTACGGATCCGTAGGGAAAGAAAAGTATGATTAAGGGGACTTCCGGTAATGCATACAAATTTCGTCGGCAGAAGCCTTCTTGTGAGGGTTGAAAGATTCCCTCGGTCCTTCTGGGCTGACTACGAAACCGCAGCTCTCGTAGAATGATATGGCACTGGTATTTGACGTATATACGGTAAGGCTTAGCTCAAGGCGTTTGCCATGTTGCTCAGCATAAGCAACCGCCTCTCCTATTGCAGTCTCGGCTAGTGTTTTGGCGAGGCCTTGGCGTCGAGCTTCTGGCAGCGTGTAAACTCCGGTTACCTGAAAAGATACAAACGAGGCCTCACCGCGATCATGATGCCGGTCATGGTCGCTCGCATCTCCCATTTCGGAACTGGCCTGGAACGGATTGCTGGCTGTGCCAGGGGTTGACGTCGGACCAATTAATGACGTAGCTGATAGGACCTTTCTGTCACGGAGACGCACGGCCACGAAGGTCTTTACAAGAGGGTGGTTAATGCGGCTGAGCCAGTCGTGGTCAGTAAATCTGATTTCTCTATCGTAAGTCGAGCCGAAGGCTATTCGCATAAGCGGCCAGGCCAGGCCCGCATAGTCAGCAATTGTATGTCAGTAATTGCGTGTTAGTTTTTTTATTATGGCTGCCATGTTATGTCGAATTCAGGATACACCAGCTTTACACGTACGACACAATCATTAGTCGGTGAACCTACCATCAGGATCTTGTTCCAACGCAGCCAGCCTAAAGGGCTTGTAATGGTCCAAATAGAAGCGACAGCCTTCGTTGTTAAGGGAGATGAGCTCGATGCGCCATTTTGTGAGGCTAGGCATGTTGGTTCGAGACAAATATTCGGGATGCGGCCGCGCTTAGGGTGGAAAGACAAGAGGTAATGATTGGTCTCGAGAATGGAGAGGGCTACATAGTACATCCACTTGCTATCCAGCCGCTTTACTTCCGCGCTTCGTTGCAGATCACAAGAAAAGTCTTTTATAGATAGCATATTGTTCAAGTTAGGTTTCATATCCGAGTTCATATCAGGGAAAGTTGAAGTTTATATGTTAGGTATCTTAGATACAAAAATATGAGTCATAATTTTGTATTTAGGGACAAGTCACGCTTCACCTGTAACTGCCAGCACGTACCTACCATGCCATGCCTTAGGTACCTACCTAGGTAGGTAAGTACAATATATATAACAATAACATTACCCAAGATATTGTATTGTATTATACCTATTGTGCAATACAGTTGTGCAATACATACCTAAGGTAACACAGCAATGCTGCGGTTCTGCGGTGTTGGTTCAGTTTAGGGAGGCAGAGCAGGAACGATCCAATACGTTCGAGCGGTTAACCTGCTAAACCTTATGGAACGACCCGATATCTGCCGCCCATCGATCTCCAACCCTCCGAGCTCATTCATTGGCCATTTCCTTTCGCCATCCCCACCTCACCCCCCCCCCCCCCCAAGACCCCGACATGGCTTGATGTCGCCTGGGTCGCCTGCTCAACAGATCCCTGCATGTGATGAACCGCCCTGTGACAGGCACCGAATGCATCGAATAGCTGAGAAGTGTAGAAAGTCCGTATTGCACTATCATAGCCTCGTTCGAATTCTTTTTCTCTTTTACAATGTAGGAGTACTATCTATATAAAATATAAATCCCGTCATGAGTTTCAATCTAACTACCTACCTATTGTCCGTATTATAACTTAGGTATTCATACTTGAAGCTTAAGAGCAGTAACCAGTAATTCTTATCCCACATGATGGCGTCCAGTAATGATACAACCCCTCCCGACAGCCCTGGGTCTGTCTTTTATGACTTTGACTTGGAGGAAGTCTTCAAGTTGGCCGAGAAACACGTGAGAGATGAGGAAAGTAAGAATTTCGTTGTCGAGTACGGGTTTGAAAGAGCGCGGATTGCGTTCGACTTCGATCTAGACGACGCCAAGAAGCTTCTCCTTGACCAAGATCCCGACGAGAAAAAAGACTACCCTATCCGGTGGATGTAGGTATTATGTCCCGTTTACAGCCGCTGCAAATAAACTAATGAAATTCGTAGCAATATATGGGATCCCAGCGCGCAGGCAGATATCATGACAGCTATTAGCAAAAGATATGAATTCTCGCGCAGGCTACTCGGCCTGATGATGACTTCAAGGACGCAGAGGGAGGAGATACGACAACATAGGCACAGAAGGAGAGTCACGATTCCTCATCTACGAACAGCCAGAGATTTAGAGAAAGGTGAATGTATACACGGCGACTTTCCCATAAATCCTCTCGCTTCCGCAGAGCTTAACGACAACATTGCTCTATATTTACAAGTAAAGGACACGGTCAACTACTTCTCTACAGACCAAACTCCAAAGGGTAGGACTCTCTCCTCAGAGGAATGATCTTACCTCTTGCTAACGCGACCACGAAGCTTTCTGCATCGGCGCAAATTGGTTGCATAAACGACCAACCTCAGAACGTACACACCCCCGTATCAACATAATGCCTCCCAAGCACTGGCAATGGCTCGTACTCTGTAACAATCGTATGTTTCGTATGACTTTATGTTATAACGTCGTACATCGGCTAATATTTATATAGACACTGTTCTGTCGATTCATGAGAAGCACTCATTTGAGCCAGTGCCGGATAAGGAGGACAAGGAAAACTGGCGTAGCGCCGAGTTCCAGTCCATGAGAGCCCATACCTTAGATGTTCTTCTACAGCTTTCCAAATGTGGGTATGAGATGTATAAGGACAAGCCACTCGCCCAGATCTCAGCTCGGAGCTCACTCGAGACGCCTAAGCCAGAAGTAAACAGACAACAATCGGGGATGTCCTTTTTCAGCAATAGCGACATAGGAAGTTTAGCCGACGAAGGGACAAGTAACCTCTTCTACTACTTATTTGAAGACTATGTTGCAGCGGGTCCTCTCAAGGCCGCAGAACAGGAGTTAGAAGATCTGGTAAGCCTAGTGCCCTTCCACCTCAAGCGGAAAAGGACGATACTAACCTCCATCGTACAGACCGAAAAAGTGCTAGAGAGTACGGTACGTTGAGTCGCTGTTAATTCCACGTGAAAGTTACTAACTGTTACATTATAGCATCGGAAAAAGGTGTCCAAGAGCTACGAAATCATACCTTCGTTGCACTATTTAAGCAAGGATCTTCGAGAGTTTAAGCACCTGTTCGAAAACTATAAAAACCTAATCAACAAGATTATGGTGGTGGGGAAACCTGACTTGCATCATAATGGCCCTTTATCTTTCGATGGGGAACGCAGAGTATCCCTGACGAACTCGGCGCTCAGCCGATTTGAGAGGTTGAGCGACCGGCTTCAGTATCTTATGCTGAACACCATCGAAGGATATCTCGAAGAGATAGGGGCTTTGTCAACGACGGTAAGAAATAGCACCGGCTTGGGTATAGTTCGTACCAGGTAGCTATAGCTGACTTTGCATAGTACTTCAACTTAACGCAGCAAAAGGACTCGCAGGCAACGGCAAGGCTCACAAGAAGCGCAACGTTGCTGGCTAAACTCAGCGTTTTCTTCCTACCGATTAGTTTTATGACGAGCTACTTCTCGGTGCAGATCGAGGACCTCTATGTGTACTGGACTGGCAAGATGTACTGGACGGCGTTTGCAGTGATAGCGAGCGTGTCTTTTGTAAGTCTGTTTTTCTTCAGCAGGCTACTCATGTTCGCGAGCGATGAATTGGATGCTTGGGCGGCTACTACGGCGGAATGGGCGAATAAGTTCCTTCAGACTATACGGACTTGGTTGAGACTTAGACCTAAGGATGGGCATCACGATGGTTAAGGATATTATATATAGACACGGGGCTTTGCTTTGAATTGGGATGTACTAACGGTTAACGGCACGGGTATGATGGACAAAATTGTATGGCAGGATGTCGTACTTGGTTACTTATATGATGTAATGAGCTCTTAGACCGAGAGGGGAAATTAAGCTCGTGACTTTTTTTTCGAGTGGGATGAAAATACACATGTATGCACTACCTACTACCTCGCAGTATGCTGCTACGTGGTAGGGAGGTTGCGACCTATTCCCAAGATTTAGGCGTTCTAGGGCTGCAGCTACCCCTGCGTCCCCTAGTTTTAGTTCGATAGTTGGTCCCTGACCACCACTAAGGTGCTGTAGGTACCTCCTGCAAGGTGTCCAACTGTCGATCAACTTCCTTTGCGCATACCATTTACGCACCCATTTCCAAATGCACCCTTTTACACACCCTCTTCCTTCTGCATCCAACGGGTTATGACGTTTTACTACGTCCTAACCACCGCAAGTTCGCCCTCTACTTTAACATTTGATCACTCTTAGATTATTACCTAACCTAACCCTTGCGACACATCCACAATCTAACATTCATCCCATTTTCACACTAGGCGGTGAACTCTTTTCTTTTTCTATTTATTCTCAAACATCTTCGATTTCTCCCTAACTTGGCGCTGTGCTTCTGAAAAAAAGAACGACGAATAACCAACCAAGCACTTGAACAATATGCCTTCGCTTGACTCCAACAGAGTCGCCAACGGTTACCTTGGCCAGTTACGACATATCCCCCTTTCCTACGATAGCGAAAATTCCAATGCCTCGGCTCGTGCACTCATTCTCGCCCTACGACCTGAATGGTCCAGTCTTGACTCTAATATTGAATTTATACCATTCAAGGATGGTATAACAAATACTCTATTAAAAGCTATTAATAGGAAAGAAGGTCTATCCGAAGACGAGATAGATAAGGAGGCAGTTCTTTTGCGAGCGTATGGACATGGGACGGACGTGCTCATAGATAGGCACCGCGAGACCCAAAATCACGAGCTGCTGATGAAATGTGGCTTGGCTCCGGAACTACTTGCTCGCTTCGATAATGGCATGATATATCGTTATATCCGAGGCACGGCCACCCAACCCGCCGATCTGAGGACGCCTTCTATTTATCTGGCTGTTGCGAGGCGACTAGCACAATGGCATGCTACTGTACCCTGCATATATGAGACCCATGCGCAGAAGAACGGGGTTAATGGGACCAGCAACGGCCATCGTGAAGTGGTAATCGAACATGCTGCGCCGGGGAAGCCTTCACCCAACGTCTGGACAGTCATGCAGAAGTGGATCCTTGCTCTTCCTACGAAGACGGAGGCCCAACGCACGAGACAGGCGAACCTCCAACAGGAACTGACTAAGCTTATCAACGAGTTGAGCCAACGGCCTGGGTTAGGTGAGAATGGCGTAAGTACTGCTAGAATCCATCCATTGTTCACAGTTTCCTGCTCCGTATACTAACTAGAGGTACCCATAGCTTGTCTTTGCGCACTGCGATCTCCTAAGTGGAAATGTGATCATTGAGCCTCAAGATTCAAGCAGCATTAAAAACGAGGACAGTCTACGAAAAGATGTCAGTTTTATAGACTATGAATACGCCACTCCTTCGCCTGCGGCATTCGACCTGGCTAACCACTTTGCGGAGTGGGGCGGGTTCGACTGCGACTTTACTGTGCTGCCAACTCGAGCACAGCGGCTAGAATTTATCCGGGAATACATTCACACCTACTTCAGTCTATTACCAAGCAAGCCTGATAATATAGACGAGGAAGCAGAAGCACAGAAGCTTTTCGCAGAAGTAGACATATTCCGTGGCGTGCCTGGGTTTTACTGGGGTATTTGGGCCTTGATCCAGGCGACTATTTCTCATATCGATTTCGACTATGCTGAATATGCCGAGATTAGATTAGGAGAGTACTGGGGATGGAGGGAAGCCAGTGAATCTGACGGCAAATTAACGGGAAAGGAGCTGTCTATAAGAGAGAAGAGATGGTCGCAGTTAGAATAGAGCGCGGGCTTTTTAAAGGGGTAAGACGTGATAGAAGCCTTGGCCGCATTTTAATAGATGCCCCCTTATGACAAAGGGGACGTTTGGGGAAACTTTAGATTATTCGGGGCCTATACCGCGATCCAATAATATTTTCAGGCTAGACGAGAAGAGTTGGAAGCATTTAGAATAGTCTTGGGCATACCTTGAGGGGTAGTTTATGCTAAGGCATTATCGATATGTATCCCATCCGAAAAATACAATAAAAAAGAGAAAGAATTGCTCAATTGATAAGTTGTGTTAGCGATATTGTAGATAGATCTACCCTCTCGGTCTTCTGGTGGGAGCTTGGATGTGAGCAACGCCTAAGCTCGGCTCTCGCCAGCGAATTCAGAAGTTTGGTCTTAAACTCTACAAATCGTGTAATAAGTTATCAAAACATCGGCTTAGTAGTGTAGGTAGTCGTGGAGTTTGGCATGATAATAGCTCAGCACCGAAGAGCTTTCCGTCCAGGGTCCCTGTTACGATACTGATAGCCCGTATTTCGTACTAGGTTATACCGCTGATTCACAGGTCAGCATTAGGCTGTGGCCTGACTACGGTATGTCTACCTAGGTAGGTAAAAGCCTTGTGCGAAATCTTAGAAGGTTCTATTACATAGATCGAATCATAGTTTAAATAGGTAACAATATACTCAAATCGTTAGGACGTGGTTAACTATAAGCTATCGTACTACCCCTTGATATAGGAGTGTCCATGCCCATTTCCAAGACAAGAGGAAATATAGATAGAATAGCTATCCAGCTGACCTTCTCTTGTAAGAATTAGCTGGCTGCTGGCTCCAAGTCCGAATCTCGCTATGTATTCATTGCTGTCCTGTGAGGGCCTTGCGAAGCACAACCTTATGTGCAATTCAATCCTTCTAATTGGAAGTTGTTCTTGCTCGTTGACATTCATCCAAAGAAAGCTCTCCGATATAGTAACCTCATGCTATAATACCATAGCTAGAATTCTGGGCTGACTAGGTAAGCCGGTGTCCTCATACCCAACTAGAGAACCATATTCGCGCTAATAGGTCAAATTAAGCATTAACCTAAGCCGATGTGCTTTGATGTTTCTTTCACGAGTACTCCTAAGAGACAAACTCGCTACTATGTTAGACTCCAGCAAAATCATCCGAAAGTCACCGGTAGCAAGTGACCGGTCAAGCACGGCTCTGAGCAGTTGCGAGATATCTAGTGGGCTGCTTCGTAACTCGTCCAGGGCGAAGGCCACCTCTGTATAGTCCAGCTTCCTGCATCCGAATTGTGCCCCAACCCCGAGAAGGGCCTGTTGCTGACGGCTCACTCTAGAGTGAGGTGTACGAAAACGACGATGTGAACAGCGCGGATGGCGGGACATAGTATAGCCAGTTTTGCGGGACTAGGCTGAGGTCAGCTCCCCGACTCTGAATGTGCCGTATGTGTTAGTGCTATACTTACGCGGTCGTCAGATACTTTAGGGGGTTGAGTGTTTGGCAATCGTATCTGAACTGCTTTAAAAGATATGGCTAGCAAATTTCCTTAAGTTACTAGCATTTCTTAAAAATAAAATAGTGATTGCAGGTGGGAACTGGAAGTGAAATATCAAGGATTCACCACGGAACAAAAACTAGGGCACGACTGATTAAAACGTAAGACGGGTATGATAAGTTCTAGTAAGAAAAGGCCAAGAGTGGAGAGGTAGGACGAAGGAAGCTCACGAGAAGCTGGTGTTTCTACGATCGATGATGATACAGGGTTGGAGATTGTGGATAGGCACAAATAGTCTCTCTGTGCGAAGTAAAGCAGCGATCCTTCGATAGACAAGGGAGCAAGGAGGCACGGGAACCAAGGTGCAGGCTTTAATGCTGGCAATAGAGAGCAAAACTAAACATTCTATCAGTTTGTTATGGAAGGGAGAAGGGGAACCTATTGTACAACAACCTCTACTCGAGTATATCTTGGTCTTGATATCAGGAACTACAACGTATAGCACTAGACATACATGGATCATAACATGCGAGCTGAAGGATATGCCTACGCATTCCATACCCCCGGCTTTTCCAGCGCTCACTTTTTGATATCACTATGTCGTGTTGATAGAAACGACAACCAACTAATATAACGTCGACAACTCTTGGACCTAATAGAAGAAAATCTGGCGATACTGGTGAATAACAACAATAGCGTTACCAACTGCAGCAAATAAAGATTGAACCATCGTACATTAGCGGCACGTCGTCGTGCAAGAAGTCGGAACCCATGATGGGTTTGGGGGCCAGCTGAGAGTAAGGCAAGTTTTAGCTATGCCCGAATGGAGAATTTGGAATGCCGCCTTACCGCCCTATCCCAGCCCCAGTTAGGTTGCCCAGCACGTCAGCTAAACGAGGGTACGTACCTAGGCTGGTAGGTACAACCTAAAAGAGAGAAGCAGGAGGAAGAAAAAAAAATAGGGACGGGGGTGACGGAGTGCAGGGGTTGTTGGCTGGTTGGCGATTGAGAGCTGAGGGAATCGGCAAGGCTTCGCAGTTGCTCCGAACGCACAGATAAGAAGTGCGAACTTTCCTCGAGGCGTGGCGTGGGGACTACTATATCCCGACCAATCAGAACGAGTCTTATATCTCGAGCTGTAAAGGGTTTAGTACCTAGGTAACCAAACAGCCAAAGACGAGGTTGACTTAAAAGTGGAACCAATACCCATTAGAGCAGGGAGGGGCTAGGGCCTACCTTGATCTTACAAACTTACCTACCTCCTACCACTATGTAAATGTTCCCTTTCATCTACAAAACATCCGGCACCTCCTGTCTCCTGTCTATTTCCATCTGTATAGAATTCGCCAACTTACATCCTTACATCCTACTACCACCAGCCAGTCGGCCTTGTTAACAAATAACAAATACAACATTGGAATTATAATACAAATACATAGTATCCGGTCCATTCGCCCATCTACTATCTACCATCTAGTATCTCATCTGCAGGTAGATTTCTTGGCGACGCGCAATCCTAGGTGTGACGAGCTTGTTCCGGGCCTCATGATTCGAACAAAGAGAATACTCTTTGCTGCTGGGTGAGCTTTGCATGCCGCCTATTTCTGACCGCCTCTGCCCTTGCAATCCTGTCATTCGCGCACGCGATTTTGCTCGTTGCTACCTCATCTTTCTCTCTCCCTCTCTTTCTAGTCGACCTTACTTCCCCCAACTCCTCTAGCTTACTTATTACCTACTATACCCCCATGCCGCCTAGCTACCTACATAGTATGTAGTCCGACACTTATCCGTCATGGATGTCTAGGTACGCAGCTGCGTACATACATGGCATACATGGCATACATGGCACACATGGTACGACAGGGTCTGGTGAGAGAGTGGTCGGGTTTCCTGAAAGGGCAATGCTGAATCGGAGCTGATATCACATGTTGCTTGATGAGGGAAGTGGTTTCAGCAAGCGCTGAAATCGGACTATTTCCTTCTCTGACGAGAACTGCCTGTGCGGAATAGACACACGAGGCAAATCATATACTTATTCGAGGAGAAAGAGGCAGTGGGAGTAACGATGCTTGCATCTGCAACGCCCAATTAGCCCACCTAGAGAATAGCCTGCAATCCAATGAACAGCGGACGGCGAACGAGACCAAAGTTTCGCCCAGACCGTCTCGGCACTTATTAATGCACTTAAGAAACATGACGTTCCTAACTCGGGAAGTGATCAGCGAAAGTGTCGATGCATGTGCCGGATCAAATGGGTCGACGTCCGATTTACTCCCGCATGGCTGTGTTTTCTGACAAAGTAAATTTCCTCTTGAGGCGGCCTACACCCTGTTTTTTTCGTCTGATGCCTATCTGATGCTGTCTAATACTGTCTGATCTGTCTAATGCTGTCTGATGTCCAGACAAATACGGTATCGGCATGGTCTGTGTGTTTAGAGAGGAAAAAAAAAGTTCGATTTAGACCAGATTCGTGATTAGAACCGATTGCTACCGCACCATTTAAAATTAGGGTGGGTGAAAAAAAAAAAAAAAAAAAAAAAAAAGAATGGAGATGAGGTAAAGGCTAAGCGGAGCGGGCAACGTGGGATGATGGTCTAGAGCATGTGGGAAAAAGGTCAGCCGAAACAAATTGCATGGACGGTTGTTTGGAGCTGATGCCAGGCTGTCCTTAGCGGCAAGTAAATTACCGGGCTGAGGCGGTCGGGTGGCCGCTAAGGTTGCGCACTGGCTTTGAGGCTTTATCTGGCTGACTTTTACATAGTACTCTCATAATTGATGACGCGCGAGATTTTCTCCAAGTTGGGGCGATACCTAGGTAATGGCGGACGGCGGACGGCGGATGCATCTATCCATCCCTATCCCATCTTATCTTACAGTAGGGTAGGGTAGGTGTAGGTACATACGTATTGTACAATACATGAATGTGGCCAGATCCCTCCGGGTGAGCACCCCCCAAACGAACTCTTAAAGTGCTGATGGACGATTATGCTGTTATATACTACGTACATATCTTTCTCATATTCTCACTCATCACTGCAGAATGTAACTTTAGATATAAGACGTAACTGCATACAACGCATCTTAGGTAGGTTAGATATGTCCATATGCACGAAGTATTTTAGGTAGTTAGATAGGTATGTACATAATACCTGTACTCATTGTATTCATCCTCATAACCTTCTTTTCCCCACCGGCAATTTCATATGAGAACATCGGGAAGTAGTATATACTATGGTGGTAAATGTTGAGTTGTCTTGCAGCTCGAATGATAGTTGGCAGGTGCAATACCTAAAGTCATCTCGATCCCGAAGACACGAAGACACGAAGACACGAAGACACGAAGACACGGCTGGTATGGCGTGGTTGGTATAAGAAGGGCAACGGTGATAGCTAAGCTCGCACGTGCGCTTACACGACGATTCCCTTTGAGTGACACCACCCGGGGCCGCGAACTATTGTGCATTGCATGGACCGGAGAAGCTGATACCTACTCATCAGCTAGATGCTACTGTCGGTAGATAAGAACGATTGACTGGCATGGGATTAATGGTAACGTGATTAGCAGTGGTCTCTTATTGGCTGGATGCTCTCTTGTCGCCCTTTTTTTCCCTCTGGGTTTTCATATCGTCGTGCCACCGTACCACAGCTCAAACCTGCTGAAGTTGCAATCACTTTCTGCAAGTCTGTGAGCGCTAGCGGTTGATCAGCATCAACTCAAACCAGAGCTGGACATCCAGCCCGTCAGAGTTTCCCGCCTGCCCGCCTGCCCGCCTGTCATATATGCAGCTGCCGATTCAAATGCAAAACCCGCCCGTGCTACCTCACGTTATACTCCACCGATGTGGCCGCCAATAGCTCTCTCGGCTTATCCATCTTGGAGACGGGACTGACCTGGCTATGGAGCATTCCATGTAATAACCCACGCTCGTCAGCAATGCTTAGCCGCCTGAAGACAAAGACAAGCGGGCGGATAATGGTAAGTGGTGTGTACGGTACTCAGCACGTCTAGCACCAGCATCGCTACCATTTGCGTGCTCGCTACACTACCGACTACCGTGCGTTGTGGATCTTGAAGGGAAGGATAGGTACGAAGCGAATCCAGGGTGAGTTTAGGTAGGGCTTGTTATTTAATTGGGGGGAAGGGATACAGAGTTTAGATGAAGTAGGCGAAGTTCTCGATCTGTTAAGTAGCTCTCTTTGTACCATTTAACACTTGATGATAATGACTTGGAAGTTGGTATGTATGTATGTATGCTATGCAGCGAGACAAGGCTCAACTAATAAAAATGATAACGGCGACGGTGGTGGTTGTTACACCTTCGCATACTACGCACTTTAAACAGATTCTAGCCAAGGTAGTAGTTAACACGGTGGTCCCTAGTAGTAGCACGTCGTCGGAAGAAAACGACGCAGGAAAAGGGAAAAAAAAAATAATAAAAATAATAAAGCGCGGCTTCTTATTAGTTGCCTTAGGTTACTTGGAGCAACTTTTTAGCCAGGGCTCTACTCTCCCTCTAGCTGGATCGTCATCTTATTAGTCCAGATTAGCAGAAAGTTGGACTATAATACCTTACGTCCAACGGCCTTATTCCACGGTCTACCGGTACCCCCTGTCCGCTAACTTATACATGTTGAGACTAATGGATTACACTCGGTACCTAACTAAGTAGGTATAGGTAATAACTAGTAGGTTAGCCTGTTAGGTAATCTACTATGTACATAATATGCACTGTATCTAGGTAATAAGGAACTTTATAGTTCTCCATATTATATTTCATTTTTGTCTTTTTTTTGTTTTTGATTTTTTTTACCGCTCATGATCTTATAACCGACTTAGTATTAGCTCTTATGACATACATATCATATATATTGCGTAAGTCGTCCGTCCGTGGATCAAGATCTAATGGTTGGTAAATTCGATGAATACCGAAATGATAAATAATGTATGTACTATGTATTGTACGCTGCATCAGATACTAGGTATACCTGGGTCTCGTCTCGAGTTGTCGACGCTCCGCACCGACCTCCCGAATACCCCGGCAGCCCGGGAGCTAGAATCCTTGCAGGGCGTTGCACCTTGCTTTTACACCTTGCACCCCCTTCTAACTTCCGTCAATTACGGATTCGGGCTATGTGCAAGTAATTTTTTTTCTCTCTCTCTTTTTGCTCTTCGTCATTTTGCCTACGCTTAACCCTTTTTTAAACCCCTTCTCTCTACCTAGAGGTATTCCCATATGAATTTATGTATCCTCTGGGGAATAATTGTGCAGCTGGCCTTTCCATGTGTGTAATATGCCGCCGTAGTGGTCGGCCCACCTTCCTGTCAACCTAGCCAGCCATTTTTTACTAGGTACCTTAGGTTAAGGTACCTAGATACCTATCTCTTTGCTTGTCTATCAGTCTTCCGCTGCTGCTGCTGCTGCTGCTGTTATTGTTGCTGTTGCTACTTCCTCAATCACAACAACCCCAAAAAACTTATTAGCCAATTTGCCCTCAAGTCCAAGTTGCTATCTTTCATAATTTTATTTTCTCTTCTAAAACCGGGACCTCTCGCAAGGAAGGGAAATAGAGAGAAAGAGAGGAAAACCCATACCCTTACTTTTTCCCTTTTACATGTTTTTTAACCCCCCACAAGAAAAAAAAAACAGCCAGATGTTCCAAGTTCAAATCCACACCCTCGCAACATATAGTCCCTGATAGGCGTCCTGCAGCCAATCTTTAAAAGTTGTTGTTGCTATTGGCTCATTTCGTCACGAGGCGCAGTCATTGCCTTTTTTTTCCCTCCTTCCCTTACACCCTTTGGCCGGCGTTTCCGCCATGAACATCAAGTTTATGATTGACTCTTGGTCCCTCGTAACCCGTAGTTGATGTGCACCGCTAGGTCGCACGCGCAAGCGGGAAGCAAGTCTGCGCGCGAGAGACTGAAAAAAAGTTGAAAGTGAGTGTGAGTTGTGAATAAGAGGGAGCTGGTGAGGTGGAAAGCGGCTCAGCCTTAGGTCAGTCCAGCCCGCTTGTTGCGGCACAGGCGCCGGTCTCGTATATATATCACATATGTACGACCCAGGCCTAGGCCTATAATAATAAGAAGGGGACAAACAAGATTAGGAAGATACAAAATAAACAGACCCGGGACCCAACTTGGATTTTGGCGCAAAAGGCGCGAGAGGGGAGGAAATTATGGCCGCCGACTCGTTGGAGCCTCGACTCGACCGTCGCGGCTCCCTGCTCGATGTTCGGGAAGCTCAAGTCACACCCGGCTTCGACCCGTCTTTAGACCCCACGATTAGACAGCTATTCGAGCAGCAAGCTGAAATCCAGGCGAAGCTAGCCGCCTTACTTCCGGCCAAGTATCTTCCAAACAGTAAACTTGAGCTGGACATGCTTCGTCGGAAGCTTAGAGCATTGGAGGCCTACGTTAAGAGTCAAAGTAAGTGGCCTCCATTTTAATCGCGCTTTGCCTAATTGGTTTTGTACTATATTCTGATACATGTGAATCAAAGATCTGCCTGGGACCGTTCCCATATTATCTGACATCGAGGAAGCCCGCGCCCTGCAGTATAAATGCGAGTGCATCGAGAGTTTCTTAATAGATCAAGGTATGTGATTAAAAGCCATCTCATCTCGTATCGCTCTCCCCTTTCGCCTAACGTGCTTGTCGTTGTAATAGGGCTGGATCTTCATGATGCGCAGTTTCTGCATGCCTTGAAGCTTTTCGTTCAAGATGATTCGCCACCCGGCTACGGGACCTGGCTGGATAAGAACATCTCATTTTATGACCCTATCTTCCGGGGATGGAGGATGAGAGAGACTATACCTCTCATATCAAGACGCCAGGCATCCTTCAAGTGTTGGGATGATCGATGCTTGTATTATATATATGGGTTTTCTAATTCCGAAGAACGGGACGAACATCTCAAACAGCATGCTATTTCTCCGAAGAGGGATTCGGGTCTATCGGTTGGCACCATACCTCCCATCGTCTTCCCGGACCAGTCGTCGTCACGATTATTTAATACCGATCATATAAATCGGAACTCACCGACGACGTTACCACGGCTTTCTGTTCCTCCTTCGCTACCCCCGCTAGCGACTGCTAACCAACCCAGAGATCGGCGTGAGTCGACAATTGGCTATTCCTTTGCGAACGAGCTACCACCTCCTCAACCTAGAGGTTCCGTAGACTCTGAACCAGATTCCTTGTTGCCACCCTTAAAACGAAGTAGAGTCGGACACGGAAGACTCGAATCCATTGGTGAGCTGAGGCTTCCACGTGATGCAGGGCCATGTCTCCGTTGTAAGGTATATGCCAAGCCTGTAGGTAATCCCTCCTCCAATGGACTATATAATTGCTTATTGCCCTTAGTGCGATTCGAAGGATGACTGTGTATTTTGTTGCGAACCTGCTGGCTCCGCCGGCGAGGAGTTTTGGAGTGTTCTCGGGTGCCTTCGTGGCTCCTTGGTCTCGCTAGGTGATTACATGTTACCAGGTATAACCCCTCGCATCGATTGGACGTTGGAAAGTGGCGTATACTCACTCCCGCATAGAAGCTCTTTCCCCGAGACAGGTGCACACGCCTGTCACGTCACCTCTAGCAAGACGTCGAAACATGAATGATTATCTCGAACGGACCTATCTTGTAAGCCAGGGCATGTCGGATATGGTATTGTCGCATATGGACTTCGATGATGGATTCTGGTGGACCGAAGATTTGGCATCGTTACCAATGCCTAATCCCACTCTAGCAACCTATTCTAAAGAGCCTACGGATAAGCCGCCGCCTGTCTTAAAAGTATTAGCAGCGAGTTGGAACGCGGAGGGCGTCCCTTTCCAATTTTGGGAACTGTTCAGACTAACAGGTTACATGTCGGAGAGCCGAGAATTTGAGGCAATGACTTACCCTGTGCTTTATCGTGCAAAGTTACTCTTAAGAGAGATTCTATTCTATGACTTACAACAGCCCGAACCGTCGATACGAACCGAAGTCAATTTAACTAATGTAACGAACGCCCAAAACTCCCTGGACGATATAGACTACGAAGGACGAAATCGACTGATATACAACTGCATGGTTCAATTTTTGCAGTCCTTCGAGAGCGCGACTATGCGAAGAGTTATATCAGATCCTAAGAGTTGGCTAGCCGTTTTCGTTTCGCTTTGCATTTTCAGCATCGTTAGGACGATTCTGGCGGACTTGATTTCTACCCCGTCACGGGCTATACCTACGCACTCGCAGTCAGGGTTTCCTATGCCCGCGGGCGCAACCGCTATGCACGGCGTCTACAAGGCGCTGGTAAGTGTATTTGCTTGGTCTGCGCCGATGATACTGGACGACCCAGCTCTCGAATTAGACGGGAACGATCGCGTGTTGTTTGCCACGACCGTTGCGGCCGTTCGAAAGGACGACTGGCTTGCTTTAGGTATTCGATCTTCCAGAGACTTTCTCATGGGACTTGGGAGCGGTTACCTGGATGGTAGCGCTGGTGGCAGTGCCGGGTTTAATGGCTTCTTTAGACAACGGACACCAATTTACCGACATGTGTCGTATCAGCAGCCTTCCGTTGGTCAAGCTGGCGAGGCTCGGAAGTCGGTTATTCAGTGGCGTCCGATCGATCCCTGGGCAGCTAGAAATGAGCAGGAAATGCTACCTACGACGTATCCAATAGAGAATCATGAGCCTGGAAGGAGGCATACAGTAGGGGAGAACCCGGTATTTACTCGAGCAATTGCTAGGGGTCTCAGCTCCCCTTCAAAACTTAGAACTTCTTACCAGCGACCGCCGCTTCGGCGTGTGTTCTGTACTAAGTGTCACGAATACCCCGAAGGTTTCCGCGGCGAACACGAACTTCGAAGGCACAACGACGCTAAGCACGCGTCATTAGTGAAAAGATGGGTCTGTACGGAGCCGCAGACCGCGGGTTCTCATAACTCTCCACAACCTGTTATACCACTTTCGAAGTGCAAGGCTTGTGTCACGCAGAAGCGGTATGGGGCTTATTATAATGCAGCTGCTCACTTACGGCGGGCGCACTTCCACCCGCACAGGAGCGGCAAGGCTAGCGGTGATTGGCCGCCGATGACTGTCTTAAAAGATTGGATGCGAGAAGTACGACAGTCAATCGACGTGAACGAAAACGACACATCTAGCGGGGAAGAAGACAACGACGTTAGAATGATCGAGGAGTACGCATTACCTCGACAATCTTCTTTCTTAGAAGCCCCCCGACTTGCGCCCGCGCCGCCTCAGGGGCCATTATTGGCTCCGTCGATAGCCCCGTCACTGGATAGCACAGCACACAGCAGTCCTATCATACCAAAGGCCGAGGACAACAGAAATCGGTGCCCCCACCCGGATTGTGGTCGAGTGTTCAAAGATCTAGCAGCGCATATGCTGACGCATCAGGAGGAGCGACCTGAGAAATGCCCGATAGAGAGTTGCGAGTACCATACAAAAGGGTTTGCACGAAAGTATGACAAAAATAGGCACGCTTTGACACACTACAAGGGGACCATGGTTTGCCCTTTCTGTCCGGGGCCGGGGACGGCTTACGAGAAGGCCTTCAATAGGGCCGACGTCTTTAAACGGCACTTGACGGCCGTACATAATGTCGAGCAGACTCCTCCTAACAGCCGGAAGATGATTATCACGGGTAACAGTTCTCGGAACGGTGGCGATGCCAAGTGTTCTATTTGCCAGACGCGATTCTCAACTGCACAGGAATTCTACGAGCATCTAGACGATTGCGTTTTAAATGTGATCGTCCCGACGACGCCAAAGGCGCTAAAGGACCGGGTCTCGACGCCCCAGAAGAGTGACGATAGGAGTATCATCGTGGCTATGGAGGATTCTGACGAAAAGGGCAAAAGTGAAGGGAAGGGATCTGCTGACGTCTCCCCGGGTAGAGTGATAGAGGCAACGCGAGGGGACAAGATGGAGGTGGATTCGGACAGGGATTAAGGAATATGGGAATTACGTCCTGTATATGCGAGGCAACGGAAGAAAAGCGGAGGAGTTTGGAAGATATCATTATTGATGAATCGCTACTTACGAGGCCGTTATATTTCGTGTATACAAACAAGCTTGGAATGAATATCAGGACGTGAGACGATCGATACACCGTACATAGGTACCTAAGGTAGTTTATTAATGGCCTACACAATTGCGTTACATCTCTTTTCTTTTTCTCCTGTTGGATGGGGGCGAAATGTGTGTCTGATAATGGGCTATCGGGAATAGGGAATTACGAGTTGACGAGCTCTGATTCTTATGTTCGTCATGGGCAATGATCGACGAGAAACAAAGTCGATGGTTAGACTCGGAGAGAGAGAGATAAAGAGGCGGCTGTTAGGACAAGACAGGATTGGTCAGGTCAAAATTAGGTCCCTCCTTTTGCTTACCCATCTTACGCGAATAACGTCTGTATATAGGAGATCTCTTATCGGTTGAGCTTCGTCAACTTAAAGTATTGGTGGCGGTGTTGCATATACTAGTACATATAATGCATATCATATACGGAAAAAAAAGAAAAAAAAAAAAAAAAAAAAAAAAGCCACAAGAATCCTTCGGGTGATAAGCTGCATAGCAGTGGATGCATGTAAGTACGGCACTTGGACTAGGCCTGTCGTCGTACAAAACAGCCGCACAATATGTTAGGTACCTTGGGTACCGGTACCTATGTATTGTACGGGATGGGATATCGTTAACACATAAATCCAGGGCAACACGTGGGTCGAAACATTGTGTCAACCCCCCGAGAAGCGTCGTAGTATTGTGTAATGTATGTAATTTCCTAGGGAAACAAGAGGAGGTTGGGAGGTAGTTTAACTACTATATAAGGTACCTAGTATTCAGCTGAAAATGGCACTGGGGGACCAAGAGAAGGCCATACCTAGCTCCCCGCAATACCCCCCTAGGTCCGGGCCGACTCGACCTTGACCTTGCTTAACCTTGAACCTTGGCCTTGACGAAATGAAATTAAAATACATAACTGGGAATAACTACAGCCGTACCTACCTGAATTATTGATGAAGGGTCGTTTAATAAATCCAGGTACCTACCTTCATGTGATTATACCTAACCGAGTGCTATGTATGCATTGTAGATGTGCATGTACACCTATTACCGAACCGATTCACACTAAAAGAGACATAATTTATTTCTTTTATCTACTTCGTAGATAGTCACGTAGTATCGCCTCGGATGTATGTAAGGTTTGTTCAATATATGCAACTCCTATGCATTAGGTTATAGGTACCTTAACTTACCTACCTGCCTATGCAACCATATGGGTGTATATAGTTGTGATGGTCCAAAAGAGGCAATTATGTATATACTAGGTACACAGTAATAAGATAACTAATGTGTTTAGTTACTTGGTTGAGAATACGATATAAGTAAGGTAAGAACTCCAAGTATAATGTAATCAAACATATAGGACATTCGTGGTAATAATAATAATACAGCAGAAAAGGTATATCAGGTCTGAGATACTCCTCCTCAGAGTGAGGACTGGTATACCTACCTACGCACACTTGATATATGCTTCCTACTCTTAGCTTCTCCCATGAAACATGATGGAAACAGACAGGTCTAATACAACCTAGTAGTACCTAGCGTATATAGCTATATATATATCCAATATATTCTTTGATACGTCTCGTGTTAAGAAGCAGCTCTACAAGATATCACATCGTTATATCAGGCATGTGCTATGTTTATGCGTGTTGACAGATGTATGTCTCCTAGATACTATAAGGTATATATAATGTATATCCATCTTATAGATATGTGCTTCGTTTCCTCTCTTCTCTCTTCTCTCTTTGTACTTTCCATCTCAATTCCGAACGGGGTATCATCATTACCAACCATACATGCGCCTCGTGAAGCCTATTCATTCATACCTACACACGTGGCACATGTTCCCAACCGACAAATAGGCCGACAACTCCGGCCCCGACCCCATACCTCATAACACATAAGAAAAAAAACCCCTTCGTCATGGGTCAAAAGCGGTCGCCAGCCTAAGCAGGTGGACCTGTTTCCTTGACCCACAACTCCGCTTAATTTTCACCCCTCCTAGTAGCATTAACAGGAGCAAGAGGCTTCCGAGCATACCCGTTCAACATCCTGAATCCGGAACCGCATCGTCGTCCCTCCTCCACAATCTCGTATACACCATCGAGGCACTTTCCCGCCTCCCGCATCTCCGGGGCCTCGGTCTCAAGGAAACCGAGACGACCTTCGGACGCCACCTTCTCCATCTCGCAGCGCAGCAGCCAGCGTTCCCACGCCCAGCTACCGGCGAGCCCGGCGGTAGGCGCCGCGGCCTCTGTGCTACCAGAGACCATCGCCTCAAGCTCGAGAGGCCTCTCAATACCGTTGCTGTCGCGTGCGAACTTCCTGTTGCGACGAACGGCCGGATCCGCGCCCATGGGCAGACACACCCAAGCGCGGCGCACCTCATCGAAGCCAGAGCGGTGTAGGCGGCCAAGGAACATACGCGTGGGGCTAGGGTCGTAGCCGAGGGTCTTGAGAGTGAAGCCGAACTCAACGCTCTTAGCAAGCCCGACGGGGCCCGCATTCGTGATATCCGAGTCCAATACGGAGAACTCGAGGTAACCGCCGGGCTTGAGTACGCGCATGCACTCGGCTAGGCAGCTATCCCACTCGTCTTCGCCGTTCTCACCAATGAACTTAAGGATGGAGTGCAGCTCACGCGCCGACACAAGGTCAAAATGCGCATCCGGGAACGGCAGCTTGGTAAGCCGCGAGACGGCGACCTGGCGGTGATTAGGCGGACCGCGGATGTTGGAGTTGGACAGCTGGCGGATCGCCTTAGTAGTTACTGTATACACCTTGGTGTTCGGGTACATGATAGCGCAGTGCCAGGCCCAGTCGCAAGTAGCCTGACCACCAAGATCCAGGATACGAGCTCGGTCCTTGGCACCGCCCATGCGGGAAAGGCGAGCCAGACGCTTAGCAATGGGCGCTGAGAATAGACGCCCTCCGTTCAAAGCCTTGGTAGCACCAACGTGCCAGTTTGCCATGGACATCTGTGCCCATGCCTCGTGCTCCTTGTCTTTCTTCAGCTTCTCCGGGTCATCGATGATAATGTCGTCACCGCGAGCTACGTTGGCGCTCATGCGCTTCTTGGCTGACTGTGGCATCACAGATAGTTGGTACTTGCCGAGAAGCTGGTTGCGGTGGACCTCGCGTAGAGAGATACGCTGAGCTTGTAGAGCCTCAAAGCGAGGTAAGCGGTGGACAAATGGATCTTGACTACGGGAACGAATGATGTAATCTTGGAAAGCTCGATAGTAGGCCGACTCTTGTCGGGCGATCTTAGGCGGCAGGGTTTTAGGAATGTTAGTCTTGACATCAATTTCGGAGAAGTGAACCGTCTTTTTCTTCTGTATCGCAGATGTCACTGCAGGCTCAGGTTCCTTCTTGGGCTCTTCAACATGGGTAGATTCCATCTCCGCTTCAGCCTCCGGCTTCAATTCTTCCTCAGGGAGAATACCCTTGAGGTAAGCCTTCTGCGCCATGAGCCATGATTCGGTCCGATCCAGGTTAGACAAAGCGGCCTCTTGCTGCTTCTTAACATATTCTGCGTCATAGTTTGCAACGATTTCCGTGGCGGTGATATCCTCATGTGGACTGTAAGGCTCAAGATGAGCAGCAAGAGGAGATAAAGGCTCCCTTTGCTCAATACGTCGGGCTGTAAGGACATCTTCAGTAAGATCGGCCCTCGCCTCAACGACATGCTCTAAGATAGCTGGCCTTGCAGTTGGAATACCATCTGACATGGTACCCCTGATTTCTACGATCTGCTCGACCGGCATCGACGGGAGGGGGGCAGCTGCAAACCTTTCGGGACGCGGAGGTGGAGGAGGGAGAACAGAAGCAGCAGGCAAAATCGGCATACGAGGAGCAGGCTCATTCCACGGTACTCTGTAGAACTGCTCCGCGGTAGTGGAGGTTGGGGGAGCAACGTCATCGGGGGTCATGGAAGGCAAATGCCAAGTGTGCCTCGTTTGAGGAGAAAGACCAGAGAAAAAGCCGCCCGGAGAGGGAATGTCGAGCCTTGTCAATCCGTTGAGGGATTGCTGCTGTCGAGCGGAGAGACGTAAAGCTGGCCGCGCCATAGTAGTAAGTAGATGCGGTGTCTGCTGTGACATTTCCGGCCTCCTCTCTTCAGTAACTTCGATAACCTGCTCTGCGTGGTACTCGCTCTCGTTGTCCTCGCTACCAGATAGCGCTTGTAGGGTAGCTAAAGCAGCGGGTTGCAATTGAACACCAGACCAATCTACGGTATCCATGCTTTCTTCTCCAATAACTGGTGTAGGGGGAGCGGATAGAGCAGCCATTTGATCCGAACTGAGACTGCCGTCCAGAGACGGTGGGGCGGAAATTGTTGGTACCTCCTGAGATTGCTGGGCTTTCAGGTAAGACATCACAGCCGGCGACATCTCAACCTTCGGAGGCGGTGTCGGAGGGATTGGCGACGTAAACATCTTGAACTCCAGTTTCCCTGATAAGTTCTGGACGTCTTGGTTCTGTTGCGCCGGGATCACTAATGGCGGAAGAGCCCGGTGTGAGGCAGACGAAGAAACCGAGGCTTGCCTCAGCATTGTATTACGAGAGCTATTCCAGCGCCTTACCGATGACATCCTCGAAGTTCGTCGAGTATCTTCTTCGTCAGAAACGTCGTAGATATCGTCAAACTCCGTAACATCAGTACTTATGCTAACTCGGTTCCAGGGGTCCGAGGAGGATATCGATGGAGAGTTGCTTTCCTCAGCGGACGTAGCCGACGGAGATTCAGGTAGTATAGGGGCTGACAAGAAGTGAAAACCTCGCGGGGTCGGGAAGTGGTCACTTCGTGGAGATAGCCATTGAACTATTTTCTCATTCGACGAACCCGGTTGGTTTCTACCCCGATTCCTCGACACCCTCTTTTGTGATCCTTCTGACTCTTCCTCCATTATTGTATTAAGTGACCTCCCCGGTCTTCGTGCCAGCGAAGGGGAGGGAGGTTGGTATGTGGTGGACGGTAAAAGGACTAGTTCAGGCATCTTGTGTATAAAAATAATACCAGTAAGATTCTAAAAAGGAAATAAAATGCAGACAAAATGTAGGAATGCAAGTAAGACGTGCTGAAAAAAATAGCGTCCGGCGTCGTGAAAGGCGAAGTGAAAGTAAAAGAAATAGGCTTTAACGACAGAAACACTTCGATCAACGAAGCGATATGAAAATGAGGCAACCTCAAGGAAGCTTGAGGAGAAGAGAATAAGAGAGATTGAAGCCTACCAAACGTTTGGGCAAGACTACTTTTATGACTCTGGACCTCGGAGATGGCCAAGCGGCTATCGTGTGGAGAGAAGTGGTATGCAGAAGAAAGCGAGCGCTTCCAGCCCTGTGGTTTGCAATTCAGATGGACGGGTAACTGCCCATCACCTGCATAGCCTTTGGAGTCTTGGTGCAGATTCGGGCAGACGCACACGCCTTGGAGTCCATTTGAGACCCGTTTAGGGTATGGACGTGTGGTAGACGTGTGGTAGATGTTGGTAGCTGTACCGGAAGAAGACTCGTAGTCTTGGTGGGCGACGTCAGTCAAGAGGTTGTATCGGTCGAACACCCCTACCAGCAGCCAATCGGGGTTGATAAACAAACGGCTAGAGGGTGATATAATTTTAGAATTTTCAGCGACATCAACCAATAGTCCGACTGGCGCGCGGGAGAGTAGGATAGAGAAAATGGTTGATTGGTCGATTGGTTGATGGGTATCATATTGCAGGCTTCCAGAGGCCAATGAGATACGGTTACGCTGACTGAGCGCTTAACCGCCCAGCGCCATTTGCGAAACTCCGTGATTGGTCGAGTCACCTTCTTAATGAGATGAGTTGTGTGTGCTGTGAAACCAAACTTCTAGAATCCAATAAATCTGGAGGCAAAGAACGAAAGAAACGTCATGTCAAGTAGGTAAACAAGAGGCTTAATACCAGATTTAACTTGCATTTGCTCGTATTGCTTGGGATTATAAGATGCCCGATGAAGATATCCATAACTATGAATACCTAAACTATGAGGTAGTCTTTGGTTAAGTTGCATTTCCTCTTTGATAAGAAAAGGTAAATACAAAGTATTCAGCTATTCGACTGTGGCGCCGGCTCAGCAACATACATATACATGTATCTGATGTAATAAGAGCTGTGGCTTGTAAGAGAAGCTTCCCCTCCAAATTTTCATTGGACGCAGCTCACCTACCAATCGTACTATGTAGCGCTAATACTATGTAGTATGTACATAAGAATGTACCTAACATACGTCAACGGTTAGGTAAAAACTTGGGTAAAAACTAAAAAGTATAGACGAAAAACAAATAGGCCGTGCAAAAGTCAGCTGTTTCGCGCCGTCCTCGCGGAAAAAAAGACGATTGAAACGCCAGGCTTTTTTTTTACCCCACCAAACCCACCTATTACCTTAGGTACCTACGTAGCAACTCTGTCGTAACCTAGACCTTAATCGACGAACCCCGCGCTCCAGAATTAAACAGAGTCCGAACAACAAAACAGAATTTCGTAGGACTCGACCGCGACGAAACGCCTTACCGCCCAATTACCTTCCCGAACAATCGCAACCTACTTAATCTATATTACATACCTAGTATTACCCTAGTTCGAAAAGAAGAAAAAGAAAAAGAAAGAAATATGGCAGACACGGAACAGGCAGAGGGACCTGGCGAGCCTCAGGGCCGCCACGTGATATACTGCGGCGGTAAGTCAAACAGAACGAAACAAAAACCACCCACTAGGATGTTCTAGGGCTCCATTCAGAACAGCTGTGTGTATATACTTATGTGTATGTATAACTGACCATGTCTCGATACTACTTATTCTAGTATGCACATTACCGCCGGAGGTACGATACTAAGCCCAATCCCCGTAAAAACCAGTCCCGCGAATGGATCAATTCCATATGATAGACGTCATAGAGAGGGAGAAAGAGAAAGAGAAAAGAGAGAAATGGAGAAGAGGCAGGGAACAACGTTACTGATGCTTGAGCAAGTAGTACTGTGAATACGGCGGCACGGTAAAGAAATGCCAGGACTGGCTACAGAAAACCCACCCGAGCCTATACGAGCGTATATGGTCTCCAGGTACGCCTAAGCCTCGCTGGCCCCCTTTCCCAAAAATAAACCTATCCCGACCAATCCTATCCTATCCTATCCCTCAAGCATAGAAAACCTCTCTTCCTCCCCACTAACGCCAGCCTTTTCCCCTCCCCCACCACAGAAGCCCTAGAAGCCGCCACGGCATCGCTATCCGTCGAGGCGCAGAAGCGCGCCGCCAAGGACGCGCAGAAGAAGGCCGCGCAGGCCGAGAAGGCGGAGCAGAAGCAAGCAGACAAGATCGCCAACAGCGTCGTGACGATCAAGCGGGTCGAGCGCAACAAGCGCAAGTTCGTCACCGCCGTGTCAGGGCTCGAGGCGTTCGGGCTCGACCTCAAAAAGGTCGCCAAGGAGTTCGGCAAGAAGTTCGCCACCGGCTCCTCCGTCACCAAGGTGCCCAGCGGCGGCGAGGAGATCGTCGTCCAGGGCGACGTGTCCGACGAGATCGAGGAGTTTCTGCTCGAGAAGTACAAGGACACCATCCCCGAGGACAACATCGAGCTCGTCGACGACAAGAAGAAGAAGGGTAGCGGTAGCGCTGCTACCGCCAGCTAGAATCAGCCGCGTGTCTCACACGGGCTTACGAAGTGGGAGCGTAAGAAATCAAGGGGGACAAAAATATCGGGAAAGGGATGTGATGTGGATGAAGAAAACTTCCTTTTTTTTAGATAAAAACGCCCAGCAAGGTTCTCATTGTGACCTGACTTTAATCCATACCCCCTCCCCGTCTTGTGTAGCAACGGAAAGCAGAACCATAACGCCAAGCGAGATGCAATTACACATTATAGTCATTTAATATCTAAGCTCTCTTTCTTAATGTCCTTCCGGTTCCTGTACCAGTTGCAGCTGCTTTTGTTGTCGGAGGCTTTTTGGTTGTGGCTGACTTTATTGTGTTCATGACTGTTGTTTTCTTGGCAGCGGGAGCTGTCGTCTTAGATGTCTTCGAAGCGGTTGTCTTCTTGACCACCGTCGTTGAACTGCCGTTGCTCGTCTCGCTTGCAGTGCTAGCCTTCCGTCTCCCGCGCGTAGATGCTGCAGTTGGGGGTCGCGAAGGGACCGCAGCTTGTCGCGCACGTACAGATGCGTTGCCGTTAGTTGAGCTAGTCGTTGATGATGTGGTAGGCTTCCTTGGAACCGCCGGCCGGGTTGGCTTCACCCTGTCCGTCATACTCGATATGATATGGGAAGAGGGCTTAGGCGGGGGACCTTTCAGAGGGGATGCGGGTCTGCTAGCTAGTGGCTTGATAGGAGAGGCCGGGCGAGGGCGGGGCACTATTCGCGTATTTGAGGATGTGGGTGATAGGATCTGTCCTGGCTGGATTGCGGCGGGTTCCTTGCCGGGAATACCGTGAGGCCTCTTCTTAGGGTTCTGAACGTCGCCGCCTTGGTTCTCCTTGTCTAAACCTATTATTTCCTCACTATATGGTGTTAGTTAGCTAAAGAGAATAGACAAAAAATCAAATCCTACCTAAGCCGCCTTGGATTGGTTGCCGGGACTGGCTTTCGCGGGAGGGGTTTGGCTGACGTGCCATCCTTTGGAGGGACTGGTGGAGGTCTGGCTACATACGCTGACTTTGGTGGCCGAGGCGGTTGTTGGGGCTGTAGTGATTTGGAAAGGAGTTCGCCCATTTTCAGCTTTCGTAAGGCCGTAGGTATTCTGTTGACGCGCATCTCGACGCGTGATCGAAGTTGTTGCGCCTGGATGTTATATTGAGCTCTTAATCGTCGTGCACGTTCGGTAACTATAATAAAATAAAAATTAGTTAAACCCTTCGAGAATTTTGTTTATTTAGCTTAGGTAGGCATCGCGTTCGTACTCTCTAGTTGAAGGTTGTCGATGAGGGCTTGCTTTTGCGCGAGCGATAGGCCTATCTTCCGCTTCTTGATCGGACTTCGTGCAGGCGAACTTCTCATGGTGATCTTTCGGTTGTCAATTGAGCCCGTTATGGCCTCTGACTTTCTCTTTCGCGTCGGTTTTACAGGTGCCATCTTGTCGTATATTTATTTGTGTCGAGTATTCTCAATGTTGGGCTTGGTGGGTTAGAAAATACGGTAAAATGTAAAAAGTTGTGTGTTTTCTGGACGCGTTGTTTCGTGTAGGCGTTTTGTTGAATATGGGGTAGAATGGAGTACAAAATGCAAGAATTCGAGTGTGTTGATGATGAAATCAAGGCTTGTGCAAGTAAACAAAAGAGAGAAAAACGTGGGTCATGCACTTGAGCGATGCAAGTAATGCAATTGGATAATCTGAAACTTGGTGGGTTAAAAAGAGTGGATTAAGTCATCTAAAAAAGGAAGCCGATTGAGCATTTAAACAAGCCGAGCAGCGGGCAAGCTGGCAAGCTGGAAACCGAGTTGGTCCAAGCTTCTTAGGTACTACATTAGGTACCTACCTTTTTCACTGTAGGTACTTAAATCCGTAAGAGACTTAAGACTCAAGAGGTACCTTGTACCCACCTAGGCTACACCTGCCTGACGTTTGCTCTGAAGAGCTTACCTATCCCTCCGATTTCCACAGCCAGCATTAGAGTTACGAAGGTACCTAGCTGTAGTTGCGTTCATCAACTTTTCGTAACCGTCATCCAGCTTTAAAGCCTTATCTAAAACAACCCTCTTTAAGATATCAAAAAGACAGGCCGGACCTCCACTCTTTGCAAAGCACCATCAAATACTGTCTATCTCCATAATACCGCCAAAATGCCGTTGCAAGCTGCTATGATAATCGTTGATAACAGCGAAAGCAGCCGCAATGGAGACTACCCGCCCACCCGGTTCGATGCCCAGGCCGACGCGATAAATATCATATTCGAGAGCATCACCCAGTCTAACCCCGAGTCTTCCGTCGGTCTGATGAGCATGGGTGGCAAGGGTCCCGAGGTTTTGTCTACGCTGACGACGGAACGGGGCAAGCTGCTCGAAGGTCTTCACCGGATCAAGAAGAAGATCTCGGGCTCGTCCCACCTCGCAACCGGTATCCAGATAGCCAGTGTATGTCCAACCATCGTTCTACGATAGACACGTTTGTATAATGAGATCTAAGCTAATTAGTTTCCTCCCTCTGCAACAGCTAGCATTGAAGCACCGACAAAACAAATCCCAACGCCAGCGCATCATCGTCTTCGTGTGCTCGCCCGTAGCCGACGACGAGAAGAAGCTGGTATCGCTAGCCAAGAAGATGAAGAAGGGAAACATCGATATCGACTTTATCCTGTTCGGCGATTTGGACGACGATGATGTACAAAAGAAGCTCGAGGCTTTCAACAATGCGGTTAAGACTAATGAGAACTCGCACCTTGTTGTGATTCCTCCCAGCGGTAAGCTGCTTAGTGATCAGCTAATAACCACTCCTGTCTTACTCGGAGAGGGAGCAGCCGGTGGTTCAGGTGGCATGGCCGAGGGTGGTGGCGACTTTGGCGATTTCGACTTCGACCCCAGCGCCGACCCCGAATTGGCTCTTGCTCTACGCATGAGTATGGACGAGGAGAATGCGAGACAGGCTAAACAGGCCAAAGAGGAGGCAGAGGCCGCAAACAAGACAAGTCTAGAAGGCATAGAGGAGGAGGGTGAAAACCAGCCTCTACTGACCGAACACGGCGAGCCTAGCGGAAGCGGATCCGCCGATAAGAAGAGCTCTAAGAAAGACGACGATGACAAGATGGATACGTCATAAACATAGACACGAGACATGAGACATGTGTGTCTGGAGTCTTGCCAAATTCTCGCCGGCATGGGATCACGGAGTTGTTGGGCTTGTACAGTAATAATAGACCAAAGGCCTGTAGCGATGAATTAGGCGGGGAATGATATTCCTGCTACGAGAGAAAATAGCTGGGAATTTCTATCAATCAAGTGCCGCCGGGGCATAATGAAATCCAAGTCTGTTTAGCTCCAAACGCCACGCGATGATGCAACTCTAAATAATTAAGGCCTCCCTGATTCCGTCCCTATCAAGTGGTGAGGACCTTCCCTGCCTTCCCTGCCTATAGATGAGTCTATAAGAGAAATGCGAAATGCATAAATGCGTAATACTAGTAGTCCTCTATACTATCGGGAGCTGTTAATCTCCCTGATATACGAGTTCAACTTCCTGTCGAATGTCTCGCAGCGGATAGGCATCTCCAGCTGGTAGAAAGGGTTCTTCATGACGTAGTCGGAATACAAGTCGTAGATCTTGCGTATGGTCACGTCCACATTGGTCTGCATCGTGTCGGTGAACAGTAAAAACTTGGTTCCCGTCAAGGTGTTGAAACACTGCAGCCGGAAGTTCTCCGTCTCCATGACCTCGAGACCCGAGGGCGGATCCGGCCGGCTTGGTATGGGCACACCTCCGGCTGTGAATGCCACCTGCTGCTGATGCTGGGCATTCATGAGTCCCTTTAAGGGGTTCAGACGGGCTGTAATAGCATGGACTCTTAATAAAAAAAATAAAGTCAGTAAGTAGTGCAATTCTGATGGCTAGGCGGTGCCGGTGCCGATGGTATATGGTATATGGTATAGGGGAGAACGTGTCTCACCCGTGAAAAGTACCAGCCAGTACGAGGTAGTCATTCGTATTAAGCTGGTTCAGGCCATCCCCGAAAGTGCGGTTGTAGATGAGACCGCCGGCCTTGTTGATGACGATGAGAGCTAATACACCCCTATATAAAAGAATATATAGTATATACGTTAGTAGCAGTTCCACATTTCACAGTAAAAGGAAGTTTCGCTTACATGGTGTAGGGTAACTATTCAGATAATTGGAACTCTTGTTGACTCGAGTATAATCTAGGGGAATTCGAGTATGTGTTTTTCTTTCGGTTCTTTTTTCATTTCTCATTTCTCATTAAAGAATATACCCTCATGACCCCTAGGTATGAGATATCATAGCACGTTGGTTGCTGAATAAAAGGTAGAAATAACCGAAGTTTTTCCCAAAAAGTCACTGACTTCCATGCCCAGGTCAGAAGTACCTAGGTACCAACATATTTGTAGGTACTTGTACTGATGTACCTCGCTCAGTGGCAGGCTTAGTGGTTGGCTCAGTGCGCATGCGTGCTGTCCCCACAATTTCACGGCTAAGCACCCAACTAACCTTAGAAGCCTTTAGTGAGCATAAGCGGATTAAAACTTATTAAGGATAAGCATAAGTATTAACCACTTATTTATAAGATATTAATTAATTTATCCTTATTAAAATCTAAGTTATAAGTAGTATTTTAGTATTTTTTAATATTATATTTTAAAATTTAATTTTTTATTATAAATTAATAATTTAGTAAATTATATTAAATAAAAAAATAAAATTATAATTAATAATAATTTAATAAATTTTAATAAAATTATTTAATAAATTTTAATAAAATAATATAATATAATATAATAAAAAAGCATTTTATATAATTATTAAATTTTTTTATATATTTAATTATTTATTTTTTAAATTTTTTAATTATTAATTTAAATTTTATATTTAATTTATATAAAAGGAAAAGCTTTAAGCTTTTTTAATAAACATTTTAACATTTATTTTAACATTTAATTTATATTATTATTATTTATTTAAAAATTAAAACTTAAATGTAAATTCGTTATTATAATTTATAATATTTTATAAAAAATAAAAAATTATAAAAATTAAAATTTATGTTAATTTATTTAAATTATAATAAAGATTACCCTATAAGTAAAATAAAATTCTGCTAATTTATATTTTAAAGTAGCACAAGCTATAAGCAAAAACCCACTTATGCTCATTAAAGGCTTCTTAGGTATTCCATCATAAGCCTTTACAGCAGTTTCTTTCCTTGTCGCATATCCTATCGCATCCCATATCCCATATCGCCGTAGCCTGCCATCCATCAATTTGATCGCGTAAATTTCGATTCGCGACTAATAAAACAGCAACTAAACATTGCTTCCTTATTCCTCTCGCTACCGTCGCGACGACCCATACAAAGAAAACCCGAAGCCGGACAAACACCATGTCTCATCCTCCCACGTCGCGATCTAGAGCGCCACCCGCCGGCAACGAGGAGGCTACCACGGTCCTCAAACTCGGCGAGTTCCAGGACGTCGATACTCTGACGCTATCCGAAGCTGCCCTCGTTATCAACGCCCTCGTAGCCAAACGTCGCAACGACCGCAAGAATGTCAACGAGACCGAGTAAGAGAAGAAAAAAACCCTTACCGTTCTTTATTATTCCCCCCTACCTAGGGTTGGGGACGACATGGGACAGAACTAACGTTTGTTGTACTTTTTTCCAGGATGTTGACGAAGACTATCGATTACCTGGATACCTTCGCCCGGTTCAAGAAGAAGGAGAACGTCGAGGCCGTGGAGCGCTTGCTGAGCTCGCATAAGGAGTTTCACAAATTCGAGCGCGCGCAATTAGGTATGGCTTGGGTCATAGCACTGTCATCGTTATCAAAAAATAGGTAAACAGCAGCAAGAAGGCTAATATGTATTCACCCGCGTCTTTTTAGGATCGCTTTGCTGCGAAACGGCCGAGGAGGCAAAGTATCTGATCCCCTCGATCACCGACAAGATCTCGGACGAGGAACTGCAAGAGCTGCTCAACGAGATCTACAAGTTGATGCCCCGATGATCGATGATCGATAACGATACTTCTTTATAAATCACCACCCAGGATACTTCCCTGGGCCAAAGTACCATACCTCTCTCTAGCTGTTCATCATATCCCGAACAGATCCGCCGAACTGAACCGAACCTTTACCACCTCTATACGGAGAGGCATAATTCCAGGGCCTAGACGCTGCGATAATGGATTTTAGGGGAGATGAGAGAGGGGAACGAAGGCCTTAATTTCTTGTCAGTTTTGGGCGTTTTTTTATGACTTAGACCAGAGGATCTGGTAATTGCACTAAACGGCGTAGGATAAGGAAAAAGACTGGCAGGTTTTCTTGATTTCTGCCATATTCCATACCCCATAAGATCGGAAGATACAGGCAAAGACTAAATAGGTAAATAGCATTCGGTTGGTTTTTCTTCTTTTTTTTTTTTTTTTGAAAAAAATGGATACCTACATACCTTACTCTTTAAGACGTCTTCGCTACGTGGTAATATATTTTCTTTTCTACCTTTTGCAACTCGTAGGGGGCTGAATCTCAAAGACGGTCCATGATACCCTCAGGGGTGTATGTTAATAAGAAGGAAGTGCGAGCGAGAGGTAATTTCATCTCGTTCAGTATTGTCATGTTCTATGAAAGAAGCCGTGGTCAACGCAAAGCACGTTCACACCCCTAATCCCCGCTCATGGAAAAGGAGGCCGAGTAATCTCTTCCTTCCTATCCACGCCCCTCGGGATGAATACCGTCCAGTCTATATAATTCCGGTATCTTCTCTCCCCCTAACCGATACCCAGCCTCTAAAGCACGGGGTGATATATATATGCGCACGTGATATCTCAAACGAAAATCGAAAAAAAAAGAAAAGAAAAAAGATAAAAACAGACCCCCTCCCCTATACTATATGTATCTCTACGGCAGCTCGCTTACCACCTGTCCCACCCCCACCCCCACCCCCGGCCGCGGCGCCTGTCCCTGCCACGCCGGATGGTCGCTCATGAAGCGTTCCGGCTCGTCCGCGTACGGGGAATTAGGCAGGGGCTTGGCGGACATGCGCTTCGCGATGCGGCGGCGGCGGACGAGGAGTCCGGCGACGAAGAGGAGCGTCAGGAAGATGATGGTGCTGCTTACGCATATCCCTACCAGAGCCGCTGTTTTGCGGAGCTGCTGGAGTCGAGGTTGCTGTTGTTGATATCGATGTTGGTGTTGGTGTTTCTGGGAGTGATGATGATGAAGATGATGACGGGTCTGGGAACGGGGATAAGGGCGTTGGTGGGGCGATGGTTTCTGTAGCAGTCCCTGATGATCTTGTAGGAAGCTTAGGACTGCTGCTGCTGATGGTGGTGGTGGTGGTGATGACCGGAGACGGCATACTATGGATACTCGTGGGAGTAGTCGCCGTTTCTGTCCTGGCATCACTATTTGACGTCGACATAGCAGCCGCAGGTGTCTCCTCCGGCTGCACAGCGTCCTCCGGACACCCGCCCGAGGTACACGCATCCACGGCGCAACAGCCCACGAACGCGTCATGGCAGCTGTAGAACACGAAGCCGGTGTCGCAGGAGCCGAGCTCCTTTACGTTAGAACCTAGCCCGTTCCGTCAGTGATTCATCTTCACTGTATATGTTTATATCAATAGGCAGTAGACGAGCGTGGAAGGTTGTTGTTGCTCTTGCTACTACTGTAACCTAAGGATTTAGGAGACTGGCTATTCGACGGTACGGCTCCAGCTCTGTCGAGATATTGGTCCCAACAAGCAGAGGGCATGTTTCTTGACCATCTAGATACCTATCTACTCTTGATAGATAGATAGATAGAAAGATTAAAGGCTCGCTAATAATAAGCCAGGAATCGACAGGTCAAGTAAGTAAAGGTGAGAATGGAAAATAAAATCGGGCGAGACACGAAAACGATTTCTGACGACGAGAAGCAAGCTAAGAGGAACCCGTTAGCTCGGGAGCATAGATATCCGAGGCCTCTTGGTATACCCCTTCATGATACCTACCTAGGTAGCTACCAAGCAAGCCGATTAAGGTTTAGGTATTGTACAAAGTTGTTTGCCTTGACCTTACCTTAAAGAAGCTAAAATAATATAGATACCTTATACCTAATATTAGGTATATAGACCGTATTACCTGCCGTAACCATCTCCCCACGTGGGAAAGGAAGGGTCTGAGGTCTTGAGGCTGATAAATTTCTTTTATTGTATCCCCCTTCCCGTCTCCCGTCTCCCTGTCGTCTGGTATGAACCACAGGTACTTGCTCCCCGTCTACTCTACCCCGTTCCACGAGCGATACCAAGGGTCTGGACCTGCGTGACCTAACGTTACCTAGGTGCAGTTACTCCGCCACGCACAATATACAGAATCAAGCATTTAAATTCAAGGCTCTGCTATCCCTAGTACTGGTAAATTGGAACACGGCGTACCCATGTATCCCCATCCCTCGCTCTGGATAGCAAACATGAAGAGTCCAAACATACTACATAGTATGTATTTTCGGTGAATAACTCGTTTGTTTCCGATTCAGTATTCATTCTTGGAGCACAAACTTTTATACATTCACTACAAGTGTACATGGTAATATACGGCAACATAGAGTGTAATGTAAATGGCAAACCACCTATAGGTGTCCACACCTTTCTTCATATAGTAAGTTTCTATATAGCATCCCTATTTCTCGCTCTCGCTACCTAAAGTAATCGTTTGTCCATAGTAAGTCGAAGTAGTATGATTCACTTGTCTCAACCACTTAGCCTGATCTAGTCATATCTGCCCTCCTTTCCGCCCTTCTCGGCCCGGACGGAGGGCTGCATCTCATATTATGTTAGGTACCCAGACAACAAAATACTAGGTATCTTCTTACCAGTAGCTTATGCAAAGACGGCTATGGGCATACGCATTTCGTGAAGGCAATTGAATAATGTAGTCATCATCATAAGAAATACATGAAAGAAAAGCCGTCCTTCAATACCGGCAGCATATCACAACGACTCATCACTTCATGAGAGCACACCGAAAAAGAACTAACCAACTCTTTGAAGCCCATAAATCTAGTATTTGCATATTTGCCTTTAGTACTCGTTTACAACTTTCCAAACCCTGTACCTATAACCCACGCCGGGACGAAATCCCAGGTTTCTAACCCTTCAACTTCTCCAACAGCAGCTTGGAGCCCATATTCCCAACCACCGGCTCCCTTTTCGCGGCGGCCTTCTTCCACTTCTTCTTCGTCTTATCTCCTTTCTGTGCCTCCGCGCTCGCCTCGATAGCTTCCCTAGCGGCCTTCTGCTCCGGCGTCTCCTCCGTCGCCGCCTTCTCCAGCACCTTCTTGTTCTTCTTCAGCGTGCTTTTGAGCTCGCTTTTGCTCGAGAAGTCCTCCGCCTCTAGGAGGTTGAGCACAACGAACGAGCTAGGGCTTGTGGCCCAGGCGACGACGTGGTCTTTGATAAAGGGGTATAGGATGTCTGCGAAGTGGAGGGGAGGATCGACAGGTATTATGCGACGGGTCTCCTTGTCAAAGTGACCGCCTGCTATCAGGGTCTTGAACATGCGGCCGCCGTAGGAAGCTTTGGCTATGTGTTCACCAGGGATAAGGCCGTTTTCGGACTCATCAGTAGGCGCATCCACCTCATTGGGGTCTCCCTTCGCGGTAGAGGCTATTGCTCGTAGAGCTTCGGATTTATCTCCGACGCATGAAAGAAGAGCTTCCGTAACCAATTGAGCCCCGTGGGAAGTAGAGATTAAATCTCGTGGTGACGAGGCAATTGCTTTCAGCAATTGTGGTGATAATGCTGCGATCAACTCTTTTCGACGGACCTCGGGATCCTTCTTGCTTGTTGTCTTGCGAATCTCCCATAGCTCCTCGAGGAGCTTCAGGTCATTAGCATGGCCGGCATCAAAGAGAACCTTAGATGCGCCCTCGAGCGGATATCGTATTGTTAAGCGGGCATTTGGATCATTGGCAGCAATGACCACATTAGAAACTTCCTCTTGTTCCGTCTTGCCTAGTAATTCCGTAATGATGGACTTGGAAGTTAAGACGGTATCATCAATTAAGTCGTAAGCAGCGAGGATGACAAGGTGTCCATGCGGATCGCTTGACATGAGTTGGAAAGTGTCCTTATATGTCTTTAAGATCTGCTTTCGGTCCTTGGCTGTTCCGTGGGCGAGAAGCAAGCATACGAGACGAGAGCCCGATTTGGTGAAGGCCATGTTCTTGAGCAGATCTCCATTCTCGTCCTCCTTGATCATTTCCATGTACTCCTTAGATTCCTCAGAACCGGGCTTCACATTGACGTAGTACTGGTACATGGCGTCGTGTAGCATCGTAAATCCTGTCATCTTCTTTTGGACAAGCTGGTTGGTCAGGTCAAGCAGATATTTCATGATTGGTGCTCGTTTACTCGGCTGCTCCGCAAGAATCTGAGAGAGCTCGGCCGTAGGGGCGGTCTTATCGTCCGTCGCGGTTCGGAAAACATGGAACTCGGGCCCATACCATTCTCTTAATAGAATGGCCTTCTGCTCCTTGGTGGCAGCGCCTCTGTAAATATCGTCCAAAATCCAAGAAGCTTCGGGGTGGTTGATAAGTTTTCGAACTCTTCCGTAGAACTCAGGAACAATCATATCTCGGATCTCGTCGTCGCCTTTTACAAGAAGCTTTCCGATTAAGAACTTGGCGTACTTGCTTTCGGCTAGTATAGGATATGCGCCCTTCAGCTCCCTCGCAATCATCTTCCGTCGCTCAGGAGTCGCATACTTAATAGCGGTCTGAACGACGCGGACGGCATCGTGCTTAAGCACGAAATCCTTCATACGACCGGTAGCAATGCTGAAGAGCTCTTCGACGAGTTTCTGTCGTTCATCTTTCGGAACCTTGGATTTCAACCGTAGTCTCTCCCAGAGCTTCTTGGTTCGATGTAATTCATCGGCTAGGGGCTTTGCATTTTTACGCTCCAAGGCAAGTTGCTTCTGTTTTATATGGGATTCGCGTGAGTTTTGACCTACGTGAATTGGGTTAGCAATGGGTTGGTAGGAAGAACTCTTTCTTCTCTTGGATTGAATCTAGGTGTACCTTTTTCGAAAGTCTTCCCAGGTTGATTGTCAGTAGACTTTGCTCGTAAAGGTATATCATCATTTTGTTGCGACCTTGCATTGCCTAATGACGCACCGCCGTCATCTTGATCGGAAAATTCGCTGATCTCGCTATCGTCGCTCACATCTTCCTCCGATTCCTGTTTTCGCGATGGTTTCTTGTCGAACTTTGGCTTTTTGCTAGACTTCTCTTTGCTGCCGTTGGTAAGCTTTCTTTTGCTTCCAAGCGCTTCACTTTTGTGCGCCATTGCGAGAATTTTGGGATGAGCGAAATCTGCAGTAGGTTATTATTATTCGATGGTTGATAATGATAACCTTGCAGCAACTCATTACATGTATGCAGCTACGCAACACTTTTTTTATTGAAGTCTGCGAATCCCAGTACTAAAAAATATTTAGTGGAGCTCTAATAATGCCGGGCGGTGAAGGCGCAATTGCTTTGAACTTTCACCCCGCGGCCCCGCCAAAATCCACGCTAAGCTAACTTAGCGATGCAGGACGGGCAGCCAGTACCTATGCCTCGTTTTATTAGGTACCTGGTTTTATAGCGAGTCCATTCTCTAATAAGATACATACCTACCTAAAACCTAAGGTATTATTATCAACATCTCTCCATGAGCCACCATGGGCCGAGAGGAGCAGGTCGAAGAACGCGAAGTTCTCGACTCCATCTTCCCAGATGAAATCACAGGTCCGTGATTTAACTCTTCTTCTTATAAGTCTCTATCTACCCCGCCATCCATCGTCCACCCATCATATCTATCGCTACTATCACTATCGCCATCACTATCATCATAACTATCATCATAACCTAATCTAACTTAATTAACATAAATAATTATAATACTAAAAATAAAAAAGATATCTCCGAAACCGAATACCGCATATCCATAAAACTCGACCTCCCCGAAGACGACAGCGATGAAGCCAGCGAACCCCCCACCATCGTCCTGTACGTGCGGTACCCGGAGGCCTACCCGGACGAGGCGCCGATCCTAGACCTCTCGCCGCCGCAGCACGCCGCGCCGCCGCACCCGCACTTCGCCGTCTCCGCCGACAAGGTGCGGCTCCTGAAGGGGCTCGAGGACGCGATCCAGGAGAACCTGGGGATGGCGATGGTGTTCACGCTGGTGACGACGCTCAAGGAGGAGGCCGAGCAGCTGGTCGCGGACCGCCGCGCCGCCGCCGCCAAGGCCCGCGAGGAGCTCATCCTCGCCGCCGAGCGCGAGGAGAACAAGAAGTTCCACGGCACCCCCGTCACCCCCGAGACCTTCATGCGGTGGCGCGAGGGGTTCCTGAAGGAGATGGAGGAGAAGCAGCGCCGGGAAGAGGAAGAGAAGCTCGCCGAGCTGAAGAAGGCTAAGGTCAAGGAACCGGTCAGGTTGACGGGGAAGCAGCTTTGGGAGTGCGGCTTGGCTGGTAAGGTTGACGAGGGCGAGGGCGAGGACGACGATGGTATTCCCACCGAGCAGGTTGAGAAGATTAAGATTGAGGCATGAAAAGGGGATCGTGTTACTTAAACGTCTCGGGATGATCTACGCTCGAGTATGAGACGAGTGAAATCTAGGGTTTCGGCGCAAATCAGGAGAATAAAAGAAAAAAGTCTAGGTGGAAAATTCAGATTCGCCCTAATTTATTTATGAAACACAACAAGACGTGACAAGACATGATGACGATGATGATGATGATGAAAGTATCACCCGCCTCATTTTTTTGAATTCCTAACGCCAATAATGCCAGAACGAGATCACCAGACCTCGTGGTATCTTCCATCTATAGTATCAATCATTCCCTTTCCATTCACCACCACCGCGGAGACGCATTAGGTACCTGTCAGGTATGCATGTAAATCAATCCTTCATCTCCTCATCACTTCCGTCCTCCTCGTCCTCCTCATCTTCCCAGTCCTCATCTTCGTCCTCTCCAGCCGGCGCCTCGCCGAGCTCCTTCGCGATAAGACCCAGTAATTCCTGCGCGTGCTCTCCCAGCCGCTCGTCCTCGTAGTCTTGCAGCTTGTACAGATGCTGGCACTGGTTCAGCCACACGCGGCTCGATATCCACGACGCCTTCCAGTCCTCCTCGCTAATACTGCTGCCGCTACCGCCGGCTTTATCCGTCTCCTTCTTCTGCTTCTCGCCCATGACGTACAAGCCCCAACCGCCCAGGTACCAAACCTCGACGCTCTGGTCGTCCTCGCCCACCAGGCGCTCCAGGACCTCGATCGCCTCCTGCTCCATCTCGACCTCCATCAGCAGCCTCGCGAGCGCGACGCGGCTCGGGAAGTCCGGGACCGCGGGGTCCTGCGGCGGCAGGTCCTTCCACAGCTCGAGGCTCCTCGTGAGCGCGGCCTTGGCGTCGTCGAACCGCTCCTGCGAGATCCGCACGTTGGCCAGCGTCTGCCAGGTCTCGGCGAAGTCCGGCGCGACCAGCGTCGCCTCCGTGACCAGGGCCTCGCAGCGCGGCTCCGCGTCCTCCTCCCACGACAGGTCCGTCATGTAGACCTCGGCGACGGAGCACAGCGTCATGGCCAGCTTCTTCTTGAGCTCGTCCAGCTGCATCGTCTGCTCGTCCGTCCTCCGCCTCGCATCTTCCAGCGTCTGGATCTGCTTCCTGAGCGCCGCCGCCCCCCTCTCGAACCACGTGACGCTGTCCTTGCCCCCTTCCTCGCTCAGCTGCGCCAGGCACAGGAACTTCTCTGGCCCGCCACCCGTGGCCTCGTCCTTTGTCCCGTCCCCGTCGATCGCCACCGCCCGCAGGAAGTACGCGCGCGCGGCCTCGAACTCGCCGGCCTCGAGGCTGATCTGCCCAAGGAGATTCAGCGCCGACAGCTCGTCGTCGGAGCCCGCAGGCGACTGCTCCAGCGCCTTCTCCGCGAGCGTGAGCGCGTCCTGGACGTTGCCCGCTTGCAATTGGTACTCGGCGGCCTTGACGAGGATTTCCGGGGTGACGGGTTTGGACGTGCCGTCTGCTGCTGCTGCTGCTGCCGCCCTGGATATCGCCGCCTTATCTCGCTTTTTCGACTTTTTATCCGGTCGTCTCGGTGCCATTGTGCTAAATATAGAAGTAATTGAAAGTTTCCCGGTAAAATTATAATGAAGTGTTATATTCGCAATGCAAACGAAGGGTAGGTTGTAAGTTGGTTGCGATGAAAATTAATCGATAATGCCGATAAGACTAAATATTTTAGTCTTATCGGATTGTACCTTACTATGTAATAGGTTGTTTGACGTGGGGTCGGTGTTCAGTTGGCAGGCGGGGGGAAGATTTAGCCTCTTTTAATGAATATATCCCGCTACTGTAAATCCGTCATCTCTTGTTTAATTGAGCAAGATTAAAAACGCAGTTTTAAGCTTAGGAAGGTTCACGTCTAAAAGTAAAATAAAAAGATAAATAAAAATACGATACCCGATTCGAGGCGAGAAATTATATCGTATTTAGGCCATTACGAGCTAATATCTTATTCTCTATATCAGTTGTATAAAATACAATACCATTACCATTGTTAACTCATTACCCGTCTTCTCCCTCATGGCCGGTTTCCGGCTGCAACTGTTTGATCTGCCTCTTGCTCCTGACCACCCCATAAAGCCCCGTATGGCGGAAGCGAGCGACTAAACCTGAAATCATTGAACAAGGGGGGGCAAGCGACCACTCAGATATCATGATGCCCTTTCCTATACCATCTTAACGCCGTAAATATATGCATCTTGTGTTGAACTCATTCATTCATAAGGAAATAATTACTGCATCTCTTGCTCGACAATGGACTGCGGGGACTTGGGTCGTTCGATGTTGCCCAATTCTGCACCTTGACCGCTTTGCGCTCTTTTGCGCCCCGGAATAAACCGAGACATTCCTAGTCCCTGTGTATGCGCCGGGGATTCTTGCGACTCTGAAAACTTAGAAAAGAACCCCCTCTTCTTCGGCTGCTGCTTCTGGTCATCGTTTAACCCGACGTCTTCGAAACCTTCTTCGGCCGTTGGAGGGTCCCAGGGGCGGTTTCTGATAGATATTCTTGGTGATTGAGGGAATCGAGCGGAATCAAGGCTCTGGCGCGGTTGGTCGCGGATTATGACTGGCGACCTAGCAGAGATATCCTTCAAATATGTTAGTTGCGAATGTAATGAATGCCGTAGTGGTTGGGTAGGTAAGAAAGCTACATACAAAGGATCGACGGTAAGAATCGAAAGATTCGCGAGAAATAGAGAAATGTTCGATGTCGCCAAAGCTGCTGCGAGTATCCATGGATGTTCGAGATGCGGCCGAACGTCTCGGCCAGAGGGCTTTGTCTTCGGTTGGCGAAGGCTAACAAATTAATCAGAGATTGGAATACTTTTATTTTTTATTTCTTCATTCGGGGAATTCAATTCGTACCGGGAGATAGACCCCGCTATCGTTCACCACTAGGAATTGAATGTCAGCAAATACGTTCCCTAGGCGCAAGATTATAAAAGCGTAAGACATACCGCTCATCTTGTAATCTCCGGTGTCCCGACTCTTCGTGCTCCGGATGCTCAGAGAAGATGACGCTTTAGAGCCAATTATGTCGACCTTCTCAAAACCGGATTGCGGAGAGTATACACCGGGTCGGACGTTCTCATCCTGTATATCCAGGTTGAGCGCGCCGGGACGTCTCGAGAAAGGGTTGCGAATTGGCATTATTGGCATTGTCGGGGATCAACGTTGCGCTATTAAATAAAGAGGCGATAGTAATTAAATTTTAATTCCAGGCTATTCAGTCAAGACGCATTGAGCGGACTTTGAAAATTTTAAAAAGTAGAAAAAGTAAGGAGAAAAAAGGTAGGAGGTTATGTTGTGTAAGTTGTTTTTGGTGTAATGTGCTTTTGATTGATAAAGTGAGATAAAATGATAGATTGGATGAAATCGCAATTGGATTTGACGGTTGACGGGATTTGAATAATCGCGGGAACAATAGTAAAGAACAAATCGGGTCGGACCTTTCCTAACTTAAACCGTACGACCTCATCAAGGACCAGGGATTTTCACAAGGGAACGGAAACAGGGAAGGAACGAAGCCCGGGTGCCGGATAGGCGACGGGCGGCAGGCGGTGGGGGGGGGGGGGTTTGTGCGATTCTGAGCCTTTTCTAAATTAAAAAAAAAAAACATCACTTGCAACAATTAAAAGTCAGCCTTTCATGCATTATTTTATATTGGGTCCCTTAGTTACCTGGCTCTACTTTCTTCTTTTTCTTTTTTCTATTTTCTAATTTTTATTTTCCCCCTTTCAAAAAAAAACACGAAAATTCCAAGGTCGAATTTGGTTTTTTTGTAAAAGGCTGTAAAGATTACCTACCTGTACCTAGGTACGTATGCAACATCTGAACATGTAAACTGACGATCGCATGGGGTACATCACCCAAAGGTGGTTTACGTGTACTACGCCTTTGGGAATGATTGTGGGACAATCTCTGTGTTCCCTATTCCTCGGGGCTTACACGCTTACAACAAGGCCTGCACTGCTGCAACAATTCCAGTTTTCTTTCAACTTGCAGAACTTGTACCTGTTCTTGGCTGTCCTACCCGACAGGACCTGCATCATCCCATTTGCTACTCCGCGCTTCTTGGTCCCTTCTTGCAGGAATGGGGTATAGATCAACGTCCCGATCGAGTAACCGCTCTGCACCTTTGGGCTATTTGGGCTATCTAATTCACACCTAACTTTCTTAGTTATCGTGAAAGACGACCTAACAGTCAGATAGATTTGCCGAGGTACCCGGGGTCCTACAATCCTCAATGACATCTCGAAGGGTTTGAGTTGACGTATATCATTGTTACGTACAGTAATAGTGAGAATCCTTTGGGAGGATCTACAGATGGCGATGCTTATAACCTTACTTCAATAGGATCAACCGACAGATTCAACCTCCGCTGATAATTTACGTTTGCCACTCACAAGGGAATATACAGCCGTATAACTAAGCCCTAACTAGAGGTCTAGTCTATGCGACTAGATAATGTTATACAGGTAGTAATAGGGCTGTGCAAAACACAAAGGACGTTAGGATATAGAATAATCATTCCTATCCTAATAATGATAATAATAGTAATGCAAAGGAAAAAGGAAAAGTTGGTCGATTGGCTTTCTTATCTCCGGGTCACATATTCTGTCATCATGAAATCAACAACGGATTCCCGCATACAGCCCGCATATCCTTCCGCATGTCCTTACCGGAATCCGGGGACCTGGCCCAAAACCTTATCTCTTTTGTCTTTGCTCTCCATCCAATATTTAATTCTCAGACGAATCTCGAATCGATTATTGTTTAGTGTTAAAAAAAATCTTCGTTTGTCTAGTCTAAACCATAGGGTAAAGCGCTTCACGCTAGCTTTTAGCACTATCTCAGGCTTAGACGGTAAGTACCTTACGTACCTATAAAGCGAGAACGCCGATATTGGTCCGGTCTCCAACCTCGAACAACACGGTACTATGTATATTCATGGATATTTTCGAAGATGCAAGATGCGGGAATAGATATTCAGAAAGTAAAATATTTCTTGTTTTGTATTTATTTATAATCAACTTCATCGCTAGTTGAAGACAACAGTCTTGTGCCCGTTCAAAAACACGCGCTTCTCGCTCCACCACTTCACGGCCGCGGCCAGGACCTGGCTCTCGACATTGCTGCCCTCCTCCACGAGCTCCTTGGGGCTCATGCTGTGGTCCACGCGCGCGACCCTCTGCTCGATGATGGGGCCTTCGTCCAGGTCCGCCGTGACGAAGTGCGCCGTGGCGCCGATGATCTTGACGCCGCGGTCGTAGGCCTGGTGGTACGGCTTCGCCCCCTTGAACGACGGCAGGAAGCTGTGGTGGATGTTGATGATCTTGCCGCTCATCGCCTCGCACAGGCCCGGGCTCAGCACCTGCATGTAGCGCGCCAGCACCACCAGGTCGATGCTCTCCTGCTTGATCAGGTCCAGGATCTGCCGCTCCTGCTCCAGCTTCGTGTCCTTCGTCACCGGCAGGTGGTGGAACGCGATCCCGTAGCTCTCCGCTAGCGGCTTGAAGTCCGGGTGGTTGGACACGATCAGCGGGATCTCGATGCCCAGCTGGTTCGACTTGGCCCGGAACAGCAGGTCGTTCAGGCAGTGCCCGATCTTGGACACCATGATCAAGACCCTGGGCTTCTGGCTCGCCGGCCGTAAGTCGTACTGGTCCATGTCCAATTTCGCGGCGAGCTCCGCCATGGGCTCGTCCAAATTGCTCGTGGACTCAGCATGGCCGAAGCGGACTCTCATGAAAAACCTCTGAGACGTTCGGTCCGCGAACTGTTGTAGTTCTAGGATATTGAGGCCCTGGTTCGCTAGGAGCCCGGTGACGGCGTGGACGATACCGGGCTTGTCCGGGCAGGACAGCGTAAGGATATGATCATTATTTGAAGCCATTGTTATCGTTTATCCAATTCTCATAAAATACAGATTTACCGGATTTATCAGATTTACATCGAAATTTTGTATTTGTATTTGTATTTTTTTTTCTGTCCATGAATGAGCCATGACTAATTCTTCCACCAACCGGGAAATGTAACGGTGTTAGCTCTTTAGTAGTCTCGGCTGGAGATCGGGCTCGGTATAAATGCATAGCGTTTTTGTCTTTAAACCCATTTGGATATGCGATAAAGAGAGACCGCTTCGAATTACGGTGTATCTCACGTATAAGTCGGCCATCTTTGTCATACAAATAAGATATTTCGAGGTCATGCTATAGTATTAACTGGTCTATAATTCGTCCAGAGCAGACTTGTAATGTAAGTGAGATAATCTTGATACCTTATATAGGTATCTGTTATAAAATTACATATGTATGTTGGAACGAGCAATATCATACCGGTACCTGTATTTCATCACATTTGGCGGCTCTGATGTCAGCTGAGCATTTTTGTTCAATACAATAAATACAATGGAAAGAAGGAGGAATAAAATGCGAAGATATAATAAATATCCTGCGTGAAATATAAGAGAAGAGGATACCATTAGCCTCGACGCGCCTTAGCGCCAGGGACTATATAATGTAGGTATATCAACACCTAAGAACCTATTAAAAGGCTTGGTTTGCGTGGCTTCGGTATGGAAAGAAGGCTTAACTATTTGAGCCTTTGTCTTAGGTCAAACATAAACCCATATCCATACTCATACCCATGCGAACTGCGAACGGGTAGCTGAGGTAGTTACCTAAGTAGGTAGATAATCATAGGAGGTAGATAATCATAGGAGGTAGATAATCATAGGAGGTAGATAATCATAGGAGGTAGATAATCATAGGAGGTAGATAATCATAGGAGGTAGGTATGTAACCAAAGCCAGCATGAAAATCCTGGGTGAGGGTCTAGGCTCTTATTAAATCTCTCAGATGCGGCAGTTGATCCTTGAATCCTTCAATAGAAATATATAAGGTACCTTAGGTAGGTAGGTAAGAGATCGGGTGTTTCCATAATCGATCTCGCAGTTGGCGGCACGAAAATCACCCGCGCTTATATTACATAGAACACCTGAGGGGCTGAATTACTATGTAGATAGTAGGTAGACTAAAAATGCTTAAGCCGTCCCGGAAAGACGAGCCGCTATTTCAGCTACACCCAAAGTTACCATTTTGCCGGATACGGGAACGTACATGAAAGGGTACCACCTGTATATTGATTCCTGAGCAGTCGTGCCGATACCCTGTTATTGGCTAATGACATCTTCCCATTCCCACTCTTCAACCATGTGTCGTGTTACGATATTTTTAACCTTATGATCGATTTGAACGCTTAGATGATAGAATCTTGTACCTAGACGGGGATCGGTGGTGATGGTAAGGCGTGGTGGCATATCTTGGCTTGCACGTTCAAGCCACCCAACAAATAAAAGACGGAGAAAATAATAAAAAAACAAACCGGGGTTTCATCACCAAAACGTCAGGTCCGCCTGATCGGGTTGTCAGATGTGCACCTGAGATGATGATGCTAGATCAGAGTCTATTAGAATTTTACATACATACATTTCTAACGTATTAGTAGCTTGGGGAGAGGGGAATCCTATTTCTGCCAGCACAACACAACCAGCATCGCCAAGTCGCCGCTAATGCCCGTCGACTTCGTATTCTTAGCATTGATTGCCGATTCGCCCTGCAAGGGAGTTATCGAGTCAGGGCTAACTGAAGTTAGGAAGAAGAGAGAGCGATAGAAGGAAAGAAGAGAAGAAAAAAATAAAATAAAATAAAAAACTAATAATAGCAGTTGCTTACGGTACCTGAAAACACAATATGGTTTCATTGTGGAAATTGATGGCTGTCAAGCAACTTTGTGCAGGTGGGAGAGTTACGTATGCTTTACCATTAACTATCTGTCTGCTGGGCCCGTAGACCATGCTAGAACTTCGCTTGCGGTTAAATAATCAAAGTTCAGAGCTGGATTTTTAACGCCCTCTCCTCTCTCTTAGCTCGGAAGCATATGCAGTAGGTTTCTCACCGGCGACCTGCAGCTCGTTGGTGATACGTTGGCACCGTGACGTGATCAATAAACCAAACACCGTGCCCCTCGCATAGGCGCGCAAATAAGAAAATAAGAGAAAACAAAAATAAGAATAAGAATAAGAATATCGTAAAAATGGACCTATGCCCAAGGTAGATACCTAGATCAAAGACGTAAAAAGCTAAACCTTGATTGACAGCTTTTCCACGCCACCTAGAGCCACGAGGCTCTTCGTAAACCCCCGGGTCCGAACTGTATTGCATTTTGTTTCCATGATGCCCCCCTTCGCAAACGCCAGCGGCCCAAGCGTTAAGAGGCGAGGCGTCGTTGCATTCAATACTCCATCACTCCATCACGTCCTAGTTAGCTAGGAGCATTAACCTCCAATAAGCTTTACATCCGTCAAAGTAATCCGTCAAAGTACTTACTACGTACGCAGCTCTCGTCTCGTTCCAAAGATAGCAGGTATCTGTGTACCTACAATACGTACCTACATACGTACATACCTAGGTACGTGGTAATAGTTAACATGCAAGTGTTAGCGGGTACCTGGGCTTTTCTATCAAAAATATCGATGAATATGCTGCTGCTATCCGTAGTGCCGTATCTGACCTGCGGAGTAACTCGTAAAGTTTTATATCCGTAGAAGCGCCCCCTCCGGTTGACCGCCTGCAAGTAAGAAAAATACAAAATTATCAGTTATTTCCCTGCCGTCCTTGTCAGGTTAGGTATCGTCGTCGTGTACTTTTTGCATTTTTTGCGGTTTTGCGTTTTTGCCTTGTAGTACTGCGTGCTCTGGATCCGTCGATTAGATTCCCCTGGTCCAGGAACGCGCGTTTCTCTGTACCGGCTATATTCAATCACTGGATAGAGAGCTCCAATTAATATACTAGGTCTCGGTCCTATAGTTAGCCTCACGTTCGTAGTTCGGGAAGTTTATTCGCAAGCCCCCACGGCAACCCGGCCTCGAGAGTGTAGAAGTAGAGGACGAGGAAGAGAGTTGCGAGGCACTTCACACAGGTTCACCCGCGAGATATATCGACCAGTCCTCGTCGTAAGGTTACCTCAACCATCGAAACTTCTTCTGCACCAACCCAGGAAACGCTACAGAAGGGTGATCGACATCAAGTGGGCACTTTTTGTCCACACTCAGCTCTCCAGCCCTGCCATCTTCAGCTGCGTCCATCCACAGGAGGCTCTCATTCGTCCCGGAGTATCATATTCTGGGCGGTACACAACATCAAAAAAAAGTTTCCTCGTATTCCGTTGCGGGTGCGTAGTTGGTTCAAGGGAACCGGTTTTAACGGTCACTCCGCGCGAAACAAACCTTATGACCAGCTGATCTTGTAACGATCCTTTCGGTTACTTATCTTCGGAACGGATATCACGAAAGTAAGATTGAAAAGGGCTGAAACGACGAAGCGAGCCTTGTACCTGCCGGACTTTTTGGAAATAACAAAAAGTCAAAAAGCTGTTTCGTTGGTTAAACCACCAACCACCCTTACCTCGACCATAGCTGTCCTCTTTATTTTACCTATTTAAAACGCATTAAGGGGTCCGAGCCGCACCTCCCTTCGGCCTGAGAACCAAGTACGTCAACTGAGTTTGAGCATACATGCGCATGCATACGTGTATCTGGTTGGCATAAACATTCTTTAAGTGTTCACTGTCGCTCGTTCCTCCTTCCCTTACTTCTCTCATTCTTCGTCATTCCGATAGTTCGATAATTCAACATCCGTTTCTCTTCGCTGCTCTTCGTCGGCGTAGTTGGATCACCCCATCATCGATCATTCATCTTAATGCTTTGGATAATTTGACTTGGGTATCATCTATATCCTAAGCATCTCAAAATGATCAACTTTTTCGTCAACTGGGAATTATGGCAGCAGATGACTTTCGTAAGTCGCTTATACTTATACTTAATCCGAAAACCCCTATCCTTTCGTATGTCTTGCTGACAGTCGGGGGAAAAAAGGTACTTGCCGGTGCGATCGTCTTGGTATTCATTGCTGGATTAATTAAGCTGTGGTGGTTGAGTAGATTTCTCAAGAAGCATACAATACTTGACTTAGAAAAGAAGGCCAGGCAACAGGAGATGGAAAGGAGTGGTCTTCCGGTGGGCAGGAAAATAGACATTCCTTTTGGGGTACGCGCAATCCAGAGCGGTATCGAAGTTGACGGCATCTGGATCTCACGACCTAATACTCCACTCATCACCCCGAGTAGTCCTTCATTCGCTTCCTCGTCGACTCTCGAGCCCGAAACCCGCTTGAAAGGAAAGGAGAAGGGAATCGCCGTGCATACGGCAACAACACTCGTCGAAGTTGGGCCCACGCCCGAACAAAGCCCGCTGCCGAGTCCTGCTATTAGCTTGTCTGACCGGCGCCCCTCCACCGCGGCCGAACAAATTCACACTAGAGCGTCCCCTCTCGGTGCGCAACCTACTTACCGACCGAAGGGCCCATCGCGCCGCCGGACGGATATCACCGAAACCGTTGACGTGAATGTAATGAACCAATACGAGCACAACTCGGCCAGACATCAACTAGTCGAAACTTATGTCCCCACGCACTCATTCTCCAGCACCGAATCGTCGTCACTATCTTCCCAACAAAAGATAATGGTGGACCGCACTTCGATTTCTTCAGATGAAGGCATCCGCCATGCACAGACACGCTATGTCTCTCACCTCCGACATTCTGCGTTGCCTACACCCCGACCAATAGTTTCCCTCGAAGATCCAGAGCCTATGACAGCCACCGTGGAATATCTCTCGTATTCCGACCAGAGGAGGAATCCTTTCGACACGCCATCGTCATCTTCCGAGGCGCAACCGGTTTCCCGCCCCCCGCTGGCTTCGAACAGACCGATCCCTCATCGATCCTACTCTGGCGACTCTCACGCAAACACGTCGACGAGGAGAGTAAACGCGGGGTTCGAAGTGTTACCGGCTGGTACATTCGGCCGACCCGACAGCCAGACGGAGACAGACGAGGGCCAGTCTAGGAGGCAAAGTAATAATAAGCTTCAGAAGAAGACCCGAGATCGTCCGTCGGGGGAGACGCCGTCGCCGACGTAATACATTCATGTACATAAAAAGGGGCGTAGAAAAAAAAAAAAAGAGGAAAACCATGATGGTGGATGTTGAGACTGCACACACGGAAGTGTTGTTCTTCAAGTATTGGCAACTCGAGCGTGGATAACGCGTTGCACACACACACACAAGAAGGAAGTAGATAGATCTTTTTTGCTCAAGCGAACCGAGGGTAGTTGCATCGAGACCGGGCGGGTGGTGGGAGATTGGCATTCATACCGGCGTTCGTTTATACAAAGAAGGAGAGGGGGGGGGGGGGGGGGGGGGTGAGAAGGGAACGGGTTGGGAGATAAATGATTTATGGGAGATGTTTAACAGTGGTTGGGTTTGAAAAAGATGAGTTTTTATTTTTT